TTGCTGATTTTGTATTCCACCTGACATCGTGAGTGCCTTTATAGACACATTGCCTGTCTTGGAGGGGTTCTTACCATTGCCACCCTGGGCATTGGCATCTCTGCTCAGCAGCTGATAACAATGCGAATTGACAATGTCCCGGATCTTGATGCCTCTGGACTTCCAGCCCCCGGACCCGTGTTCCCCCGTACGACGACAGTGCATGGAAGTGGAACCTCAATACAATGTGCGTAACTCTTCCCTATTAACCGCAGTGTCCATGATACACTGTTGCTAACTCATATCAAGTGCCATTCTCGACCGATCTTGCCTTGAGCGCGGGATTCCTATCCACGCATGTCAATTTTCTAGAAGTGGTCTGTCCAACGGGGAACTGTACGTGGCCAATCATTCCTACCATTGGTGTCTGTGGCGCTTGCGACAACGCCACGAGCCGTATTAAAGTTCTAGACCGGGACCCAAGCTCATGCGGTGTCGTTCTGTCCAAGGGGGCCAATTTTGGTTTTCGGCCCTGCGATGGTATCGATGTCGATGCTGTCGAAGGCGGGCTGAAGCTAAAATATTTCCAAATGCAGACTTTGTGGCTTCAGAGCGAAACGGACATAGTCCCATTTCCTGGAGGTCCCAGAGAAGACCGCATAATATTCGCCGAGTTTGCGGTCATTGGGACTTCCCTCAACGTATCATCAGATTTGTTTAATTATTCCATCCCGGAAGACCCTCAGGCATACCACTGCGGTCTCTGGTACTGCGTTGAGGCTCATGAAGTGCGTGTAGACGCAGGCATCCTGAGAGAGGAGGTTGTCGGAGCTTGGAGTGAAGCACGTTTGGACGCCGACTACGGTGGAGGGACCTTTCAGAACCTCCCAGACTCATTCTCCGCAGACCCGGCCGAGGAATTCAAAGTGATTGAGCCCTTCATCTTCTCGGACCTCAATGGTAATGCATCTATAACCGACCTGTCTGAAGGGAGCGTTTCGTTTTATGACACGCGAACGACGCGCGGAAAGGCTCTGCATGAAGCCTTTGGCGATATGGACTCGTTCATCGCCAAGGTCGCAAGGAGTCTGTCTAACGACGCCCGTGCGAATTCCACTCCAACAACGCGCGGCACCTGGTACCGAGGAACCTCATACGTAAACCAGGTCAACGTCGTCGTGCGATGGCCCTGGATCACGTTTCAGATAGTCATGGTGCTGCTCTCCTTTCTTTATCTTGTGACCGAGATGATCAGGACGGCAAGAAAGCCCGACGTACGGCCTTGGAAAGACGATGCGCTGGTACCGCTTTGGATCGAGTTGGACAAGGACATGAGAGAACAGGCTGCCAAGGGACTAGATGAGCCCGATGGGATCAGACGGCGGATTGGCAAAGATTCGGTACAGCTTTTGAGTGGAGGGAAGGGATTGCGGATTCCGGCTGCTACAGGATGAGATTTCGAGTGGGTATAACCATATACATAGGGTTTACGTTGTTATTAGTCTTGATGTGACACCTAGGTGAAGAGGCTGCTGCATGCTGTGAAGCCAGTTTATAAAGCAGACTACGTTCTATACCCAGCTTATAGAATTCGAGTCTTTAGCCTCTATAGAGAATTGCAGACTTTATACTGAAAAGGCCTATAGCGGCCACTTAATCGATGTGTTTCGGGACTTTGGGAGACGAATGGGAGTTTCTGGCTGAACGGAACAGCTCCTGACGGCCTGAACAATTCCGAGATTTCTTCTACTTACTTAATGAACGCGAGACAAAGCACACAACGACTACGACACTGCACTGCCAAGCCTTGATAGTTTTTTGTTCCATCGTCATATTAATTCGAATTTCGCGACCGTTTCATGTGTCAATACTCAAGCGCGACTTTCTCGGCTTTAGCCAACTAACCGCCAAGCACCTCTACCGTCATCAAGGCGTCGGGCGCAGGCAGGCAACAGCTGACATGCAGCGCCACAGCGCTTCCAGCAAGCGGCACAGTGAGTGTAACCCCCTTTAAATATTTCCAACATTTCCAACAAGGAGTCAAGCTTCATTATCTCTTTTATTCGCTCGTAGCCGTTTTTCATCACATCCTTTACTCGCAAAACAATCATATCTAAGAACATCGACTAGATTCGCGACGAGTCTGATGACTCGTCGCGAATCGGACTGCGAATGCTGCGACTATCCTTTTCCCTTCCTCAACCTCCCACAAGAAATTCAGTTGAAAATCGTCCGTGAAGTACCAGACTACTGGACCTACATTTCTCTGTGACAGACCAGCAGCGAAATCAACGAACTGTGTCATGTGGATGAGGAGATAGTCTTAGGCAATCTGAGAAAACGCCTGGTTGCTCCCTTCTATGACTACTATGACTTTCACGTCTCTCTTTATCTGACTGAGAGAGCTGTTAAGCAGCCTCCCTCCACTAGATGGCTGCAAATCACCCTGGAAAACTTCTGTCCCTTTGAAAAATCAGGCTTAGCTATTGAAGTGTTATGCTATTTACTATAAGTTAAAAACCTTAAATACTGCAATAATAAATATAATATTAACTGCTAGTCTAATGCTACTAACTACTCTACTTAGAAGCCTAGTGATGAGTACCTTAGTAAAAGTATAGAAGACTACTTTAATAAGAAGCTAATCTCTAAGCATAAAATAGCTATTATATCTAGTTATAAGAGTTGCAGTATTACCTTCCTATTAGAAATATTAACTAGTTATATCTATAAAGAAATTCTCAAAATGAACCTTAAAGTCTAGGATGAACTAGTTGACTATTTTGAGAGCAAAAAGGAGGAGTTCTAGAGTTTAGGTAGGGTTTTCTCCCTAGGCTTCAATATGATAGGGGGTTTGACTAACTAAAAATATCTATATAATATAGAGAAGATAGAGAAACAAGACAAGCCACACTCACCTACGAAATATTTTATGAAAACAGATGAAGATAGTCTTTAGATCTAACACTTTTATTGAAAGTTTAGGTGGCTCTCCCCTGCCTGGAAAAGGAAGAAGGCATTTAAGCAATTAAAGACTTCGCTGCGCAGAGAGTATAGGAGCATAACTGGTATGAATAAGATTTAGAGATGTAAAGAAGACTTTTAGTATTCTAGTAGATATTAAATATAAATATAAAGAGATTAAAGTATTAAGTAGTTTCTAATTAAATATTATAGGCTAATTAGAGATATTAAGGAATATATCGAAATTTTCAAGTTAGGTAGGGAGTAATATATAGGGCAACGGACGGGTCGGGCAAATAGTTATATAAAGACGGCGACATCTCAATATATTCTGACGGATAATACTTGAGTAGGCACATGGCCCCTTAGTGATTTCCGAGAATTAATAAGCTAAGAAATTATAAATATGTAGAACTAGGAGATGTGAAGCAGTATGCTGCAGCAAGCTGCTTTATTTTCTAAATATAGGAACAAAACCAACCCTAAATCCGAACCCTCTATATTCTACTGTTACATGAAATACCCAAGTGAACTCCCAGTTTGGTCCCGCTCTAGCCAATAAGAGTCTGGCACTCAGCCTCGGCCTTGTTCAGTTCTCCAATAACCGTAGTCTCACACCCAACAAATCCGACAACCTCAAGGAAGACACCAAGGGGACCGCTGACAGCAGCAAGACCAAGTGTGGCAACACCGCAGACGGCAATCTCTCCCACAGCAGCCGTGACGGCCCCGGTCTGGCACTGACTGCACAAGGTACCGCAATTCATCTGGCCAAGACGGCGGCCCTTGCCACCGCCAGTCTCAATGGCCTCCATCGAGGCAGTGCGAGCTCCCTGGAGTCTGTTCTGCGCTTCCCTCAGCTTAGGGTCCTGGCGAGCGACGAATTGGCTGGCGCCGTCTTGGTTACCGCTGTAGCTGGCAGGGCTAGGCGCAGCGGCAGTCATGCCGGAGGCAGCGAGGAGAGTGAAGAGGATCGTAGAGGGCTGCATGGCGATAGTGATAGAGATGGTTTTGTTTAAGGACAGTTTGTTTGAATGAAGTGATCCTTGAGCTTGGTAATTGTTGGTGTTTGGAAGCTGAAGTGAATGAGACTAAAGTGAACGGAGACTGAAGTGAACGAAGACTTGAGTGGTGAATGATTGTGATGAAGAGAAAAATTACGAATGTTCCAACGCAGGATCAACAGGATAATTTATACTTCTCGAGCCGATCTTTTCCAATTCTTTCACTATATGATCCTCTCATACCTGTGATTACCTAGGTCATGTTGACATCGTGTAAATGCGAACACTCACACATGGTCCAGTTGACGACCCGAGGCCTATTCTCTCGGCAAGTCCGATACGTGTACATGAGTTCGTATAGCACGTCGTGGATCACGAGGGTTGGTTTCCACTTAGGGACGAACCTTCTCGAAGAGAATCCGAAGGCAACACTCAGATAGACCAGACCTCGGTGTATTGAATCCCAGATCAGGTCTAACACTGCTCTTGGCGAAGTTCCATGTAAGGTCACGTACCGGATTGAATGTCCCGCCAAGGCATACTCAGATTGCTGGCGGTTAATAGAGAAGTCCATTTTCTTACTGGTTCTAATGATAAATCCCAGACGCGTATCCTCAGAATTATGCTGCTGCCCAAAGGGCTTGAATAAGTTCGGTCGGCAGAACAAGTACTTAGTAGGCTATGGCTAATGGTTCTGGAAGGCTTGGCGGTGGCCAGTCGTTTTATCGCTGTTTCCGGTACGCCCGGCGCCTTTGCTGGGGTTTTGCTGCAAAAGAAGCGGCTATCAAGCTCAGATGATGGATATCAGTAGAGCGCTGATGCGGTGAGGTTAAGCAGGGATTGTTTTTGCGGTAATGCGGATGTCAGATCCACTCTCCCACGAGCCGTGTTCGATTAGGTTTAAGGTTGAAAGGGAACGACGGTTTCTGATTCAATATAGCTGAGCACCGGCATTGTGGATAGGTCCGATAGGCAGGTGCATAGGGCGGCATTTGACACCGGCGGGCCGGTAAGGTCACATTACCTCAGCCCGTTATGTACGTAGGGTCTCCGGCATTTGTCCAGAATAGGATGGGTGAAGACGTTTTTCTGCCGACGCCTGCTGCGGGTGTTGCTGTCCGTGCAGTGGTGTTTGATATCGCATACTATAAATAGGGTTTCACTCTAATGGATCATGTGGAGGTGGCAGCAAAACACCATCGCGAAAGCTGAGGCCTTATTCCACTAGAGAGCCTGGACAACAGCGATAATTTGGATGGCCTGTGGTTCAAACCGGCGGCCCACTCGACGTCGGATTCGGTGGGCAGTCTAAACAAGTTCGGAAGTTCCTAATCAACGGCTTTCTTTGGACTTTCGATCTGTACTTAGTCGCTAGTACTTACCCGTTTTATCCACCGCCAAGCTACCCCTTTTTTGAGCATCTCGAATGTCTTCGATCAATACCAAGTGCAGCATCCGACATCTGTCCTTCTAAAGTCTTGATTTAATGAATTCATCTAGCAGCCGAGTCAGATTGGCCGCTAGCGCCGCTCTTAACATATCACTAAGGTCAGCAGACATTTCTGCCAATCAACCTCATCTTGTCACTAGGCAGAAATACAGGATCGAAGGGTTTCCGTTCCCACCGGAGATCACGCGGTACTGCAACATCTCTACAGGATGGATAAGTCTTATAATCGCTGTTAACTCGCATCGTGGTGGCTAGTATAGCCAGTCACGAGGGTCCTCCACACAGACGTGTCTTAGACAAGACAAAGTCCACTCTTCCATCAAGGTCTACTAACTTCGAAGGTAAGATCACGTACGACAAGCCTAGATCATCTAACAGCTTACAAAACATGTTGTGCAGCTCCATCCATTCATTGGAGTCAAGTGGCATTAGCCTTACACCATCATCGTTCAGCCAGTCTGCGCCAGACTCGCAGACGACGACGAGAGCCTCTGCCATCCTATTCCTCAATTCTTCCCATTCTTCACTAGCTAGTAGTAATGATGCTTCTTTTCTGTCCGCATATGTGAGCGCGTAGCAGATGGGATCCACGCCTGAGCGATCCGATACAAACCAGGCCCCAGTTTGAAGAGCTTGACGCTCTACCTTGACCTGGGCGTGGAGGATGAGTTTCTGAAGCTCGAGGGTTCGGTCGCGAGAGGAACGAATATCAGCAGCCGTCAAAGCGTGGGCTTGGAGAACGGAGCGGGCTACTTCGCGGATAACGATTGGGCGGGGGCATGCTGTTGCGAGTGGCTGCGCGGTGGTGAAATATGTCTCCAAGGCATTGACCAGGGTTGTTTTGCCTGTGCATTGAGCGCCGATGATACAGATGTTGGGTTGGCTGTTGGGCTCCATGATACATTCTTCAAAGAGCAGCTGGGCGTAATGGGGCTCAAGTGAGGTCAAGATTCTGGATCTAGATAAAGGAAGTTACTGTGTATTCACTCCGCCTTCCCCCCTCTCAAGGCGATAGATTAGCACAGTAGATGTTAACCGTGGGATGATGCTTCACCTGTGTAATGTAGCATGTCGTCATTATGATTTGTTATCAACGGGGTTAGATGGTTGTATCATTGGTCGGCATGAGCTAACTTTTGTGTTCTGATATCGAGGGGTAGACCGTACACATTCTCCCAAAGAGCACTTTCTTCCGTTCACTAGACACGATGGCACCGCCCGCGCAAAAGGAATTCCGACAAGTGATACAAGAGTCGATTTCTCTCGACGACACAGAATGGAACTATCATGTTCCATCACTACCATCCCCCACCCAAACCAATGACGCCTGCTCAGTCAAGTCGGTGATGCTGACAACGAAGGAATCTCATCACCGGCTTGAGGTCCGCCTCGTGACGCAATCTCCGAGTCGTGCCGTCTCTCAGTCTTCTCCCGACCGATTGATAATCATGTCGTTTGCTGGCTTCCGCTCATTGAGTAACCCGTCAACCGATCTTTCGGGCACGCAGCCATCGACTCCACGAGAGTGCAGCGACTACATAGTCAGGCTTCTGCGCGCAGGGCTATCCATTAATGGCACACTGTATAACTTCTTCGGCCACAGCAACAGCCAGCTCAAGTCACGCACATGCCTTCTGTTGGCTGCCACGAAAGCGGAAATCTCGAGAACAGTGGACGCCATGGGTGACTTTTCCAAAATGAAGACGGTGCAGAAGAAGGCGAAGAGGATTGGTCTTCTGTTCTCGACGGCACATACAACTTTATCCGTTGAACCGAAGCGGTGCGAGGATATTGTCGATATCGAAACGGCAGATTACATTTTTACAGATGGGTGCGGGCTCATAGCTCCACGCCTGGCCCAAGATCTGGCAAGAAGAATTGCTATCGTCTTCAGAACCGTTCGCTACACTCCTTCCGTCTTCCAAATAAGATACAGAGGATGCAAGGGCGTCATAACAGTGGATCAAACGATGAAACGAGGCGATACTGTCTTGAAGGTCCGCAAGTCAATGAAGAAATTCAGTGGTGGGCATGATTACAACTTTTCGGTTGTTGAATACTCCAAGGTCCGTCAGTCATGCTTGTTATTCGATGACATTTCTTCCCTCCAAGAACTACTGGACAACTGAAACATATACCAGCCTTATGCATTCGGCTATTTGAATGACGAAGTCATTCTTCTGCTCCATTTGCTTGGCATCGCCACAGAGGTCCTACTACGCAAACAACGACAACACTTTGACTTTCTCGCCAGCGCTACCATTGATCCTCGCGTGGCGTTTTGTTTCTTGATGTACGTGAATAAGTACGAGCTAGCTGAGCGACTTCTTTTGGAGTCTCTTGATGCTATCAAGCCTAGTGTTGTGGTGCTAGTCAATACTGAGTACTCTAAGCTGGTTAAAGATCGAGGCAATGAGCAACGTTGTCGCATTCTCATTCTAAAATCACGTCTACTATTTGGTGTTTGCGATGCCTGGGGCGTCCTGAAAGAGGGCGAGTGCCAAGTTCGCGTGACTATGGAAGGCGATGGGCGACCCGTCGCACTGATGGAAACAGAAGTGATTGTTACAAGAAATCCCTGTCTGCATCCCGGTGACTTGCAAAAGTTTAAGCTAGTCTAGAGGCGGGAGTTATTGCATCTCGTCGACTGTATCGTCTTTTCAACTAGAGGAAGGCGCCCGGCTGCTGATCTCATGTCTGGAGGCGACTTGGACGGCGCTATGTGTGAGTTGCTTGCCTTTTGACCGAACTGCTGTTGCGAGCTAATGTTACCCGGCGTCTAGTCTTCGTATCTTGGGATGAATATATCATTCCGTCTACAGTCTCTCAGGCAGCTGAGTACCCCGGAGCTGAAGAACCAGTGTCTTTCAAACCTATTACCGACGATGATCGTCTCGTCTACTTTTCTAAGTACACCAACGTCTCGCTTGGCAGGATCAAGAATCTCTATCTTAGCTGGGCTAGGTCCATGGGTCCTATGAGCCCACAGTGCCAGGAGCTCAATCGGCTATTCTCGACATGCGTTGATGGAAACAGGATTAAGATTCCACTGAAGCTTGAAAAGCCTCCTGAGCCCTCTCCAGAAGCGCTACCATTCGTACTCGACCAGCTTCATGAGGCCGCAAGACAAATTGTGCAGGCCCAGAAGCGAGGAGCCAATGCCGCAAACGTCGATCTTTCCGCTTATAGCTTTCACGCCGTGGAGATGCTCCTGTGTCGAGATGAGTATGCCATCTCTGAGTTCGAGCTTATGCAGCTCACTTGTAGGTGGTGCCTTCGGAACGACGTATCTTTTGAGGAATTCGCCCCGCTGTTTAAATACACGCTTCTTACAGCGGAAGAGAAGGCATGGGCATTGTGTCAACTGCCGATATTGGAGAAGTACCCAAGCCTAGTACACAACGCGCTTTGCCAGTCAACTCTCCTGGAGGAGGCGGAGCTGCGTGATTTCAAGTTGCATTACCCATCTCTCCGGTGGAAGTGCTTTTACTCCTCGTCTAGGGACCGCCTTGCAGTATTCCTCGATAGGGCTACCAAAGCACTCGAGGTATTCCATCGGAAACTCATCGTATTCCGGGTGGACGAGCGCTTGACGATTGCAATTTACATTCCGCAGCAGATACAACCGTCGACGGACTACAAGATTGGCAATAAAGCCCGGTTGTTTGCGTTTCCACATTCCCAAGGTGCTCAAACATCCAGTCGATTGAGCCTCCCGACAAAAGTAGGGTACCAGGTATATTGCGATAGTAACGTCTTCTAGCTATTCGATCATCGCAGACAAAATACGTGGGTCTTCATCGGACGCGGTGCTTCGGATGACTCTAGCTATCGGAGCCTTAAAGCAGAAGCCGACAAAAGACACATGAGACAAGCAACTCTCCAAAGCGGTGTCAATTGTGACTTTCGTGCAAGCATAGCACTAAACAAGTTCGGCCATAGCCTTCAGAATCATGTGGGCCGGGTGAACAGGAACGGTGTTCTAGGGGCGGTAAGCAACATGCTCTCTTTTTCGTTACCAGGCTCCTTCAAATGAGTTACGGCTTTTAAATGGGTAGTATAGCACACATTCTGACTTTCTATCTATTAGGAGATATACGTCGTCTCTAACAGGGACGTCGACTCACTACGAAATTTGGATCTTTGGCTCCAGTATGTTGATACTCGGGAAGAAGTGCCACTTTTTGAGCACAACGCAAAAGAATACAAAACGCCAACGGTGAAGGATATCGACTGGAGCACCCAGCCCGAGTACATCTTCCAAATCGTCTTACATCGGAATTTTACTAAACTTGTGAACCTAGAAGCCCGGGAGCAGTATGCGGCATTGTTCTGCTGGCTGCTTGACCGAGACGAGAAGGAGATGCTAAGGCGTTCCTTTGACTTTCTGCTAGCCAACTTTGAAAATCAGCTTTTCGGCGCAATCAGTCCAGCCCTGGCTCTTGGAGAGATGCTCAACTTCTTGGGCCAGTGTCCTTTCCTTGCAGTAACCTTCTCTCGTCTGGATTGGGCACGCCTTCCAACAGAGTTGGCGGATATGCTCGATACCCGGGTCGAGCATATCTTACGAGCCTTGATTCTCTCAGCCAATAGGATCGACGAAATGATGCTCTCGCCCTTCTTGCAGATACTCGCGCGCGCCCGTGTTCTTTCAATTTCTGCCTGCACCCGATTAATTGAGCTGATTGCCCTTACGGTCTGCTCGTCTTCACTGGCACTAGACATACTCGGCGGCCTGGACCGGGAAACCACGCGGTTGGTACCGGAGCGACCAGCGCTTGTTCAGTACCTTTTCCGTAATCTGACCGGTATTGCTATCCAACATATTGAGGAGGCGATAGAACAGCGCCGCGAGAGCCCGGGTTTCCTATCACTGAAGCGAGTCGCCGACACCAATGATGGATGGCCCGTAGTTCAAGCCGACTTCCGTCTCGATTCCAAGAGCGGCGCACCTCAGTCTTCAACTCATGTACGTTTCACAGCTGCATCGCCGCCTATGAGCTCACTCTCAACAAGTGTCTATTCCATGGATGCCCTTGTCACGCAGTCCAGCCCTGGTTGGGCTGAATTTCAATGCTTTCATCCACTACCCCCTTATCTAGAGCAGTGCTCATGGAGAATGAGCTCGTGCGGGCCGTTTGCAACCACCAATGTCATGTTGGACGCCACTTTGAATTTGGCGCTTGAGACGCACAGCATTTGTGGTTTGGCCGGTTTGATCCTTGGTATCAAAGACTGTCCAATTATCTCACTACGTCCCCGGGATAAGGACGAGGGCTTGAAAAATGTTCCCAAGAACACACTGAATTGGACTCAGAATCAAGCTGTCGAATCTGCCGTTCAGCATTCGCTGACCTGTCTCTGGGGCCTGCCAGGAACAGGTAAAACGCACACTATCGTAAAAATGATAGAAGAGTTTCAAAATCGGTACCCAAACTCGCGCATCCTCGTCACGGCACCCACACATACTGCTGTAGACAACGTCATGAGAAGATATCTTTCAAATGGTCATAATGACCAAGAGTACCCCAAGATACCTGCAATCCGTATATCTACAGAGGTAAGAGATCAGGCTATAATCTCGAAATACGACTGCAAGAGAGTTCGAGGTACGCTAACTACTTCTATGAAATAGATACGGAAAGTTGCCGAGGATTTGCGTAAGCATACATTTGACGCCATGGTAGGACAAGAGCTCCATGGCTCCCACGCAGCCATGCGCAAAGCAAGAGACATGACAAAGCAGGCACGCCTAGTTTTTACAACATGTATAGGCGCCGGGCTAGGGCTCCTAAGGAGTGAAGGATTCGATATAGTCTTCATCGACGAAGCTTCGCAGCAAACTGAGCCCGCGTCTCTTGCACCACTCACTAAAGGATGCAGAAAAGCCGTGCTAGTAGGCGATCATGTGCAGCTCCGTCCGACAGTTGGGCAGCTCGCAATATCGCTCGAGTTTGACTTATCGCTGTTAGAGAGGTTGTGGAGGACGGTTACGATGGACGATATCGGAGCACGGAAGGTGATGCTAGATACGCAATACCGCATGGACGATGCACTGTGTCGGTTCATCTCAGACGAATTTTATGAGAAACGCCTGCGCTCCGGCATCAAGGCGGATGAGAGAGAGATGTTCCCATCCATCTTTCCCTGGCCGATGATGAAGGACTCTTACCACCGTGAAGATAGCCATGATGGTCGCAAGCGAACGGGGATCCAGCATTATCACCGCATGGTCTTTATTAACTGCACCACCCCGGAGGAAATAGGCCAGAAGTCAAAGTGCAATAAAGGGCAAGTTGTGTTATGCGGCAAAGTGTGCGACCTTCTTGACAAACAAACCCCGAGTTCGGATGCATCATCGGCAACAACCACAAATACGCCTAAACCTTCCATCGCAGTGTTAACACCGTACAGTCGCCAGGCCGAGCTCCTTATATAAACGCTTTCGGGTCACAAACTAGTCGAGGTTTCCAGCATTGATGGGTTCTAGGGGCGGGAGGCGGATATTGTTGTCTTGGTGACGGTGCGGTGCAATCAGAATTGCGAGATTGGGTTCCTTAAAGATCTGAGGAGGCTAAATGTGGCTTTGACAAGAGCGAGGATAGGAATGATCATTCTGGGCCATAAGCCAACGCTTACAACGGTGACTGCGGGTGAGGAAAGCACTGCCACGTGGATAAAGTTGATCGCTGGGCTAAAGGTTGTCGAATTGGCCCTCTAAGCCTATACTATTTCCTCAAGACCAATGATAGTTGGTGAGCTTAATAGTTTTTATAATTTACTACTTATACCCTACTACAATAACAATCCTTGCTGACAGTTCAAAATTCGTTGCCTGCACAATTGTTCGTGTCTCTTGGGCTCTCATCATCTTTGGTTCTTTACACAACTTTGGGCTACTTGGAGACTTGAAGACGAAGTCGCGTAGGACGTCCCCTACCAGATTAAAGAAGAGATACACAAAATGGGATGTGTGTAGCGCATTGCTTTACTGTTATTGTGGTATGCCAATGCCAGATCATCTAAGCGCTTCATCAGTAATAAACAAGGTGGCCTATAGCCAGAACGGACGCGAATGTTGAATGACAAGTTATCACTCGGCCGCTTGGCACGGGTGGGCACCTAACTAAGTACAGGATCTTACACGCACCCCTGTATCGGCTCTTTTCCTTTTTGGGACCAGTTGATTCGCCGGCGTACAACGTACGGAAATTGCTCGTCTTTTCTATTTCGCCTGCGAAGAAACCTTATTTACTGGTACCTCATCAAGGCCTAGACAAGGTTTGGCTTTTCCAGTGAAATCAGTTGCTGTCAAGATCATCAGACGACGGTTCAAGACTCTCGCATTTCTTAAACTACCTTTTCTCGCCATGTCAGGACTAGGTAGTCCCCGTGATGTGGAAACCACTATCAATTATTACCGAGATCCTGGCGATGGAAGCGAGCATGCACCTAGCATTGCAGGCAAACGAAGCACATTCACCCAGCCATCAGTCGAATTTGAAACGCTTGTTCACGATATCACCGGGAACGAACGCAGTTTTACCCTCGATAGCCACGGATTCCAGCTGTGTCGCCACACTAGCCAGTTGGTGGACTTTACGAGTGATCGACAGATAAAAGAGGTGTACTATCCCGAGATCGAAACGCTTTTATCGCAAATGTAGGCTTTTATCTTGGCCTTTGAGATGGAGTAAAGCTCTGACAGTTATCTAGCACCGGTGCCTCCCGATTACACATTTTTGACCACACTATTCGGAGACCGAACCCCTCGGCCGCACACTCTGACGAAGAACGCCGACCAGTGAAAAGAGCCCACATTGACCAGTCAGAGTGGGGTGCGATTAATCAAGTCAAACGTCACCTAGGGGAAGAAGCCTCTCGACTACTGCAATCGAGATTCCAGGTCATCAATGTTTGGCGTCCAATCAAGACGATCTACAAAGATCCTCTGGCGGTTTGCGACTCTCATTCGGTGTTAGAAACCGACATCTTGCCTGTCAAGCTCATTTATCCGGACTGGGTGGGTGAGCCGTGTACAATTCTTCCTAACGGCGGTCATCGTTGGTACTACAAAAGCTTTCAAACACCTGAAGAGGTGATGCTTATCAAGTGTCATGACTGGAAGGCGGATGGGCGCGCCAGGAGGGTTCCACACGCTGCGTTTACAGACGCCGAGATGATTGACAGAGAGCCAAGACAAAGTATTGAAGTAAGAGTCCTTGTTTTTCACGAGGATGACATGGATAAGACTTGACCAATTATATACAGCCATCATTTTTTCACCTTTGAGCTTCCATTTTGTTGCTCTCAAGCTTCAAATCCCCACGCGGCCGAACAGTCCTGTCAAGGCTTTCATCGTTAAACTGCTAGGATACGGAGGACTATCAAGTTGGACTTTTTCGTCTGCATACGCCCAAAAATCGAAAGGCTCCATACAACAATGTGCAGGCCAGGCAATTTCTTCGGTGGACATAGCATCTGGTTTCTTCAGGCCAACGCAATTCAGTCGTCGCACTTAGTGTTTAGGTCTATGCTCAGTAATCAAGTAATAAATGTCTCGATGTCGGGAGCAGCTTGAATTGTGCACTGGGGATTCTATCAACTCTTGCAATCCCTCTTCCGCAAAGTCATTTCCGAACCAATAACCAGCTCGATGTAGTCGTGCTGTAACTTCTGAAAATCTATTGTGGCTCAAAGGCGTTACCTATCGACCCTCTCAAGGTCCCGACGGTGGGTGGCCTGAGCATTTGACGGTCGGGAATTGCCCAAAATGGAAATTGTCCGAATGCCCTCTGTGAGCAGCGTGATTCCTGCTTTAGCCTCGGTTGTGCTTTTCTGATAACTTGGTTAGGTTGAGCTTGGCTCATATCTAATTCATTTAGAATCCAGTGCGCCAATTCCGCTTCTTTGAGTTACTACTTGCAAATCACAGCATCTGATTGTAATTTCAAAATGCCAAATGCTGAATTGTTACCCGACAGAGTTGCTGAAGAAAATGCTCCCTTACACGTCATCTCCCTCCAACAACTCATGGATGGAGATGAGTTGTGCCGTGAGCATTTGCTGAAAGCATGCACCGATCTCGGGTTCTTCTATCTTGACTGTCGAGATGTTGCATCCGGCCAAGTAATGGCGAGTGTGCAATCGATGTACGACCTAGCTGTAAGCTTTTACGACCAACCAAGCAATGAAAAGATGGCGTGGCTTGTGGATCGGGATCACGATGAGCATTTGGTCATGGGGTAAGTTTGAGCTGGTACACTGGGTTTCTCAATCTGACGATGGGTTCCTTCCGCTGTAACAGATACAAACCAGCGGGACATGGCAATGGGCCGATTGAAGGAAAGAAAGATGGATTCGAGGGACTGATGGTGAGTGAGCTGCATCCCAAAGTTAACGTGTCTCACTGCTATCTGTACAAGAAAAAGTCTAACTTGGGCAGCTTTTTGAACACCCAATTTCGAAGATCAGCGATCCTTCGGTTTTTCCGGGCCCCAATGTGATCGCAACACAGCTTGACGTTTTGAAAAGTGCCACAACAACTTTCCGGGAAATCAGTGTTCTACTACTGTCACGACTCTCTGCCGCTTTGGGCCTAGAAGATAAGCACGCGTACCAGCAATATCATCGCCAAAACGCTGTTTGCCCGACAGCTCTAGGTCTCCTCAAATACACCCTCGCAGACGTTGAACCTGACAAAGTAGGCCAGATTGCCCATACCGATGCTGGCAGTCTTTCAATCGTCTTCACAGAGGTTGGTGGCCTTCAAGTGCTGAAGCCCAACGAAGACCAGTGGTACTACATAGCGCCCAAACCAGGTCACGCGGTTGTGAACGTGGGTGATGCGCTTCGCTTCATTTCTGGGGGAGTTTTGGAGTCAAGCTTGCATCGCATAATCCCCCATAAAGATGAAGTCACGCGTCACAAATACTCGGTTGTCTACCTTCTGCGACCGGAAATGGATGCAGAGTTTGTTGATTCGGAGGGTGTTACTTGGAAGGGCCTTGAGTGGACGAACAAGAAACATGCCGTGTTTCGTGCCACAGCCGAGGAGCAGGCCACGGGGACATACTTGACCGGCAGGGAAGGGTATGTTGGATACTGGGATCCGGAGAAAGATAAGGACAGCGAAACTATCATGGTCTAGTCGGAGCAAGGTTAATCAATCATCACCACCTCTGAACCTTGTTCGGTCGATTAGAACCACTATTGACATGGAGTGATGAATTTTTGACTACTGCCAGGTAGACAAGGACAGCCGGCCTATGTAACCTTCCATGACTTCATCGACATGACATGCCAGAGAAAATGCTTGGTGGATATTGCGACAATGGGCACAGACGCTAAACCGACATTGAAGCTTCCGACTAGTGGTGCCAAAAATGGCAACTTTCCGAGAAAAGTTGTGGGCTACAGCCCGGGGAATGAAGGAATACCATCTTCTCCGAGATAACTGATAGTGAGAGCTCTGCATGCCACCTCTCAATCCCAGTATGTACAAGACTTTGATTGGAGGCGCAACTCGTTTTCCTGCGCTTCGTCATTCAATACCTTGCAGCGGTGGCGGTACATAGCTGAACCCTAACAGTGAAAATGGCTTGCCTCAATATCAAAGAGACCGATATACCAAACTTGGAAGGGCAGACTGCCATTGTCACTGGTGAATATAACGAGTCCTATCGCCTACTAAGGTATCAACACTAATTACCATGCGATAGGTGGTTCGTCCGGCATTGGATTGGCTGCTGCAAAGATCCTAGCATCCCGAGGAGCTCGCGTTGTTATTCTCGATGTCTGCCAACCCAACGAGGCATTGCCGTCTTCCGCAGAATTTCGGAAATGCGACATCAGTCGTTGGTCTGATCTTTCCGATGCATTCTCCCAGATCGGACCAGTCCAGATTGCCATTGCCAATGCAGGAGTAGATGAAGACGGGACATATCTGAACGACTCGTACAACGACAATGGCGACCTTCTCGAACCGAATTACGACGTGATCGATGTGAATTTCCGAGGCACTCTGAATTTCGTAAAGCTTGCTTTGCACAGCATGAAGAGAAATGGCGCGCAGGGGAGCATTGTGCTGACATCAAGCGCAACTGCTTATTCTCCGGAACAGTCTCTCCCCGTGTACAGTGGGACAAAGGCAGCAGTAGGTAAAACTTGGCCTAGATTCGAGACAGAACTAACTAGACAAGCTGATCAATTACTTGCGAGCGATGCGCTCAAATTTACGAGATACCGGTATTACTATCAACGCTGTCGCACCAGCCGCGACTATCACAGGGCTACTGCCGGCTAAGCTCGCCGCTCCGATTATGGATGCTGGCCTGCCAGTCAGCTCTGCGCATTTTGTGGGGCTTGCAGTAGTATATTCTGCTGTGGCCATGGAGTCTGAGAAGGTTCAAGCATATGGGAAGGACAATGCCGAGTGGAAAAAAACGCGTGGTCGCTGGAGCGGTAGAGTCATTCTCACGCTGGGTGAGAGATACACCGAACTGGAGGGACCTTTGGCGAATTGTCGCGACACGTGGATGGGTGCAGAGAACTTGCAAGAGACCGAAATGCAACAAGCTGCCACAGATTTCAGACATGTTTTGTAGATAAGTTTCTCGTCCGGGGGGCCTAACAGAGTTCCTTTAGTATCGAGTTCTCCGGCCCGTACTTGATTCTAGGCCATAATGCCGGCAGTAGGTCTAGAATATCAGTGATGTGATAATGCCCCAACTCAGACTTTTCAACCTGCCCGTTTGAAATGGACAGACGCGCTTGATTGGCAAACTAGTGGAGCTCCGGAGAACTTAGATGTCAAGAATCTTCAATCAGATCTCACATTTGCTGTGAATTCATCGCATTTTTGAACCGATTGCGCCTCCGCTGTGAATACAGAATTAGATGCAATGTCAGCCGCAGATCAGTAACGGGTGTCCAATCATCTCTACAACTGTCCAGTCATGTCCAAGATGGCTGGAGTTTGGCCCATCACCGCACAGAACGATCCCTACTGCACGAAACGATGACCTTTAACACACGGCATTCTTCACGGAGCATCTATCTGACAGTCGGAGCAGACCACGAACAGCTGTAAATTATGACATCAAGTTGAGATGGATTGAAGCAACTTCTTACTTCAGACGTGGCTTCCACTTTTCTCTTAGAACAGAGTCCAGTTATTTTTCTGTCGGCCTCCGGCCTCGCTTCATTGCCCGATTCGCACAGGGCCCGAGACACGATCTCCTCGCAGAGTTTCCCAATCTATCCAATGGTGGTCAATGTACACGACCCGCACGCCCAAGTGACAAGATTATAGAACGACAGCAGACACGTTTCGTCTCAAGTACGGCACCAACAACAATCGCGCGGGGAAGAGTTCGGCCGTAACATTTCACCTATCTTCTATTATCGACCTCCCAACCTCAGTGCGTTCGAGATTCCTCCTTCGGAGCCAAAATGATTTCTCTGCATGCTTTGGCGAATTTCATTTTACCTGCTCAGTCAACGTCGCTGGAGCTCTTTGACCAGTCGGGCAAACCCGGTCAGAAGTCTTATAGGCCTAGCGACCCGCCATCCGCGGCGCAGTTTACCGCCAAGATACACCCTCGAGAACAAGAGGTTTCGACGGAAGTAAACAGTTTCTTTCTGGACCACTGGCCGTTTGAAAATGCGAAAGCTAGGAAGAAATTCGTGGCCGCTGGCTTTCCACAAGTTACCTGCTTCTACTATCCTACCGCCTTGGATGACAGAATTTCTTTCGCCTGTCGTCTTCTGACGCTCTTATTTTTGATTGATGGTGAGAAATTTTTATCCGCATGCTTGAAATGCAGACCAATCGAATGTGCTAGCCGGGCATGGCCAGAATTACTGACACTGTGTTACCACAGATCTCTTAGAAAACATGTCTTTTGAAGAAGGCTCCTCCTACAATGAGAGACTCATACTTCTTTCAAAGGGAGATTCGTTGCCAGATCGCAGTCTTCCAGTCGAGTGGATCACTTATGACTTGTGGAATGACATGAAGGCTTGTGATGAATCCCTCGCCAACGAGATTCTTGAACCAGTCTTTACGTTTATGCGTGCTCAAACCGATAAGACACGGCTGCAGATCAAGGAGCTGGGGCACTATTTGAAGTATCGAGAAAAGGACGTTGGCAAAGCGTAAGTTGACTCGGATTCTGTCTCTCCCTCTTTCGTTCAGGCACTCATGATTGTCTAGATTGCTATCTGCCCTGATGAGGTTCAGTATGAGCCTGCATCTCAGCTCTGAAGATCTGAATTCCGTTGAGGATATTGAGCTTAACTGTTCAAGACACATCTCGGTGGTCAACGATATTTACAGCTGGGAAAAGGAGTTAAAGGCTTCCCAGGTAGGCCATAAGGAAGGATCCGCCTTGTGTTCATCCGTGTCGGTTTTGGCTTCAGAAACTAGCCTGGACTATTCAGCTTCGAAGCGTATCTTGTGGACGATGTGTCGCGAATGGGAGCTTCTTCACAGTAAGCTGGTCAACAGTAGACTATCAAGTGCTGGTCCATGTGGTCCAGACTTGCAGGCCTTCATGAAAGGCTTGGAGTATCAAATGAGTGGGAATGAGGCATGGAGCAGCATTACTCCAAGATATCACTCTGTCTAGACCAGCGATGTACACATAGTCGTACGAGAGAGCATTTAATCGAATTTTGGTTTGAGTTCGATTCCTCACATAAATCCTATTTCATCCTACTTAACTTGAAGCGCGAGTCGCTGCATTACTCCACTGACTCAAGCTCACTGACTCAAGTTCTTTCATTCCATGTCCTACGGCCCAAGACTCCCATGCATTAGTCGTTACTTCCACGTTCTTTAGGTTAAACCCAGATAGTATATGCCCAGCGTTACATTGGTTTTACTTTCCCATCTCCAAGTCAACTTTTCGCTTGAGCCCTACAATCAGCCATAAGACGCTGGGCAATAATTGAGTTTTTCCTTATGGGTATTTTCACAAAGTCAGTATTCTTGTTCTCAAAGTCACTGCGATGAAGCAAGGGGGAAAACTGGATAGAAAGTGATGATTCTAGTTTCGGGCTAAATATCGAAAATGTGTAGAACCGAGTGGCTCTTTAGGTCTTGCAATCTGAGAGTTTGTCTCAATTACCAATTTCCTACTGCAGTCTGACGTCCAAGCGGGACATTGGCTTTGGACAGAGAGACGTCCGCATCGATGAAATCAACGTTGTTGATGGATTCAGCTGCAGCTTTCCCATTAGTCGCAGCCGCTAGCTTAGCCTCCAACCGCTCATCATGGGCGTTGACAATATCATCTGGCAGCCTCGCCAGTGCCTGCTCAAGATCCTCGATGATGTCTCGAACATCCTCTGTCCCAACTGAAAATCGAATGAATGCCTACGAGATCACCTCGTCAGCGAACGTCTTATTAGGGGGTTTAAGTGTCAGTGATACTCACGGGTGTAATTCCCGCTTCTCTCCTGTCCTTCTCAGACATTATGACGTGAGTAGAGTTCCAGGGATGGGTGGCCAGAGTCTTTGAGTCTCCAACACTGCGTGCTGTTTAGCCAGGCCTCTTTTATCTGGTCATGTTGTCTTTCACTTACTTCGTTTGATGGGATATCACTTTGACAAAGTTCATGAGCATTTTGCTAGCCACGTCCCCTCCCTTAGGGCCAAAAGAGAGAACGCCTCCATACCCACTCCTGAGGTACTTCTTGGCATTTTCATGATATTGGTTCTTTTCCAGCCCTGATAAAGTTGTTAGTGAACACCCAACCAGACATTTTGCGTCGGTAAACTGATGTTGCAAACTTACCAGGATAATTGACCCACGCTATTCTTGGGTGCGATTCCAAGAATCTAGCCACGGCCATGGTGTTTGTGGTGTGTCTTTCACAGCGTAAACTCAATGTCTCCATTCCAATGAGGAGCTGCTGTGCTGAGGCTGGACTCAATATCGACCCAACCTCCATCAAGATGTCAATCCTCATCGCCATCGCAAAGGAGATGTTGCCGAAGGCCTTCCAGTATGAAAAGCTCATTGGGCCATCCTTCTTGATCATCCGAGGAAACCGATGACCGGCTGCGCCCCAATCGAAGGTACCACAGTCAATGATGACTCCGCCAACGGTGGTACCATGACCACCCATCCACTTCGTGGCAGAATGCAATATGATGTCGGCACCAAATTCAATGGGACGACACCATGTACCGCAGGCCCCGAATGTGTTGTCGACCTTTCTCTGTGTCAGCTCGTGGAATAGCCATATATATTCCAGTACATGCTACTCACTACAAACGGAACGTGATTTTCATGGGCCACATCTGCTAAGCCTTGAAGATCGGGAATGCTGCAGCGAGGGTTGCCGATGCTCTCGACGAATAGGAGTTTGGTATTCTCATCAATGTGTTTGGCGAACTCTTCTCTAGTCTCTTGTTTGGCCCACTTCACAGTGATACCGAGTCGTGGAAGCAGTGTCTTGAAGAGGCTGTATGTACCTCCGTATAAGTTGATCGAGGCTACTACGTTGTCGCCGGCTCCTGCTAAGCCGATGATGGTGTTGAAAATGGCGGCTTGTCCTGAGGCTGTGGCTACAGCAGCGGTGCCTCCTTCCAAAGCGGCGGCCCGTTTCTCAAAGACTGCAACAGTTGGCTACGAATAAGGGTTAGTAAATACGACATGGACACAGCCGAGTATAAGAATGATGGAAAACTTGCATTGGACACTCTGCTATAGAAGTAACCTGCTTCCTGAGTGGCACATACTCTTTTGGCATGCTCACTATCTGTGAATATGAATGACTAAGATATTACTGCAGTTAGTTGACCATCATCAGCAGTGATCAAATATGAAAGCTCACCACACTATTGTAGATTGGGACTGCTCGAGCATGTGTTTCTATATCCGGTCGATGTCCTCCGTGAACCTGAAGAGTGTCGTATCTAAGACCGTCGTCAAACTTTTCGACCTTGTAAGGCTGGAAAGCATCATGTCCCTCAGGCAAAACACTAAGAGAGACCGGGGTTGGGTTCGCCAATGGCATATCGCGAATTGGTTCTCCCATTGTGAAAAGATGGTTTAAACTTGAAATATTGAGTGAATGTCAGAAAAGTCAATTCAAGAGATATCTTACATTCGATGAGCCTGACTTTGTACGAGTATTGACTCCTGGTAATGTTGTAAACTCCGTAGTTGTCATTTGGACTCCGGCTACCTTCCCTTTTGGGAGTTGCAGCGGCCGACACTTCGGGACATGCATACTTTGGGACAGGTCCGAGCTCGAGCCGAACGATCCAAACCTTGCAAAGTCGGAGCTTCGTGCCGGATGGTATCCGCGGTGTTTGAGCCCATTTGCTAAAGTGGTTACAGTTCTCCTTGTACACAGTTTCATGTGGGATTTTGTAAGCTCGTCTCGTCAATCCAACGCGATGAAGTCACTTTTTGATCTAGACGGTCTTTTGCTCCAGCACTATACTTACGACTATACCAATGGGAACCACGGATGGTTGATGACCTTTTTGGGCCTCGTTGTGGGGGTATTAATTCTACTTTACGCAATCTGGCCTGACAGACAGAAACTCGTCCCCGGTATTCTAGTCGTAGGTGGAAATGACAGACGAAGCATCAAGGCAAACCGTGAGCGGTTCCGCCAAAACGCGAAGGAGATGCTGGAAGAAGGGTATAGACGCGTATGTCATCTTCCGAAAATGGTTTTGCTCGAGTTATTCTTACGTTTTCTAGTCCAAGGGCGACTTCTTCTACGTTCCCAGCCCACTAGGAGAACGGCTCATGATTCCTTCCAAATACTTAGAAGAGCTCAAGACAGCCCCCATTGACCAAGTAGACTTTGTTGCTACGTTCATTGAGGTAATAAAGGTAGCCTTCCTCTATAATCTGTACGACGATGCTAATACGGCTAGGAAGATGTTCGAGGGCAAGTACACCACTATGGGAAGTCGGTCGACATTGCATCCTCGTGTTGTCAAAGCGCAATTGAATCATCATCTCGGTAAGGAGTTCTACTTATTCATAAGAGTCATTGGGCTATTTCTAATAAACCTGCAGGCGACGTAATGCCGGCAGTGCAAAGGGAAATAATCGATGCGTTCAAAGACACATTTTCTACGTGTGAAGGTTTGCGCATATAACCTCTATCAGGGCTTATTCTCGGCTAACATGGGCAGATTGGACGCCTGTTCCTGTCGTACACACCTTGACCCAAATCGTTGCAAGAGTCCCGAGCTGTATGTTTGGTGGCAGCACTCTATCTCACAATCGTGAATGGGTGCAGTCATCTATAGACTTTGCCATTGACGGCTTCATTGGCGCTCAGAAGTTGAAAAGGTATCCCGAGTTCTTGAAACCATTGGCAGCTCGTTTTATTCCAGAGATTGCCAAGATTGCGGGTCATTACGCTGCTGCAGAAGCTGCAGCTATCCCTTTGCTCGAAAGTCGTCTTCGAACTGGAGATAACGCTCAAGATCTCTTGTACTGGATGGCCGAGCAGGCGAAAGGGGAAGAGCGCGACATGGCATTCTTGGCAAGCATTCTCCTGAAAGTTAGCTTCGCTGCGATACACACAAGTGCAGCTGCACCTGCGCAGCTCATTTATGACTTGTGTGAACGTCCTGAAAATATTGAGATATTACGGGAGGAAGTTGAGAGTCTTACTGACAGCAATGATTTGGTAACAAAATCTGGCTTCCTAAAGATGGTGAAAATGGACAGTTTCATGAAAGAGAGCCAAAGGTTCAATCCTCTCCTTCTTAGTATGTTCAACCCCATGAGTTCCAACTTTCGAAGTGGTTGCCTAACACATTTACTTCCGTAGTCACATTTGAAAGAGTGGTTCATCAGTCGTTTACACTATCCTCGGGGTTCACAATTCCGGCTCACACCACAATTGGGATTCCAACGCAAGCTATAACGATGGATGAATCCTTTTATCCGGACCCCGAAACTTTTGACGCGTTTCGTTTTGCCAGGATGAGGGAAGAGCGCTCAGACATGGAGGGTCGTGCACAATATGTCGCGTCGAATCCCACATCCTTGAGTTTTGGCTACGGGCGTCATGCTTGTCCAGGGCGCTTTTTTGCGGCTCACGAGATCAAGGCCATAATGGCTCATCTGTTGAAAAATTACGAGATGCGTTTTTCACATGGCCAGGAACGTCCGCAGAGTGTACGAGCGGAAACGCAATATCTACCAGACCCATGGGCGACTGTAGAGTTCAAGAGGAGACCCTGAAGTGTAACCCTGGGTCTTCTAGCGTAGCAATGAGTCGCTTAGAGATTCACTGGATGGTATGGACTGGACTTCGCAGTTTCTTTTTTTTCCTTTCTCAGCCTGTCAATTGATTGAGGTACATTTCACGACGGCCTACCTCAGCTCAAATTGATGCTTTTCCGGTTGAAGAAGCTTCTCCGCGAATAAATACCAAGTTTCCCAGCAACTTCCTCTGCGCTAGCCTTTGGCCGAATTCTGGACGTCCAAACGTCCACCTACTGACCAATGACTTGATTCGCCTGAATCATCTTGCAGAAGAAGGGAACTCTGTGTCTGTTCTGCAATGGCAAGACAGCCGCCTGCAGGCTTAAGGGGACAGCGCATGAGTTGCCATGGTACAGCGACATTCCAACCTGAATGGCGCATACCTACAGGGTCTTCGGCGTATTTCCGTCTTGAGCGGGTCCGAGAATTAAACGGAGTACTCCGTACATGTACTTCAAGGCGAGAGGCCTTCTGGCCACGTGTCTCAAGCCGTGTCTTCTTGCTTATCGTAGCTATTCAGGGAGATTTTCTGCTTCAAAATAAAAGTCTACTCCAAGCGACGTGCATAAGCCGTCGACCCGGTGCAGCTCACCCTAGAATGTGTCGTAGCTGAAGTGGGCTGGTTGAAGAGACGTTGGGCCGGGGAAGCCGCAGTCACAAACCCCCAGCAGCATATGGAAACGACTTCAGTCGTAACTTCTGAAGCAGCTATGGGTAGAGCATAAGATGAGAGCGGGCGTCTAGAGATGCACGACAGCGTATACGCTGCCTGTTGACTCGTAGACGTGCTCAGGTCTGGTGGATGGCCAAGATCTGGGCCTCTTGGCGACGTTCCATTTTAGTAGGCATGAGGCTGACACAGCTGCTCATATTTGGGGTGTGTTTCTTATTGATGGAACGCTAGGCCTGTAACAGTGCTTCGGCGGTTGTGGCTAATCAAGCCGCTTCAAGAGTAACGCTCGTATGTTTAAGCTTCTGCTAATGCATTTAGGACCGGGGTGTCAGAAATAGAGTTTCGGGCTTCTAAACCTTAAACTAGTCTTGAGGCCAAGACACTCCCAATCATTAAGGTCTCCAGCTTGAATGACTCGCTCTCCCGTCTATCCCCAGGTTCGCCGGCTAATCTGCGGGGGTCGCGGTCCCTGAAAGATGAAACGGCTCAACTAACTCGATCATTCATCGGGAAGCGGCCGATACCGAGATCAGGAGAAAGGGAACTCGGGCTGTAGGAGTACCAAAGTTTGGCCAAATATGTCCGTAACCCTTTAGGTGAACGGCATCTGTGTCCGTAGACACAGAGGCTTTGATTGGCCCACACATGTGCATGGTGCGGCCCTTTGAGAATGGCATCCGAGTCAGAATGTGCGATTCGTCTCTTAATATATACCCAAAGGTATTCCGGTTGTATTTTTCGAGGTTTAGATGCGATTCTCAAGATGGAATATAGATACGCCTCATGACTGTCCACTCAAAGCTTCCTGTAACTCCTCAAGTCGGAGACAAATGGGTTGTAGCGAGGCTTGGTGTGGCGCCAACCTATGTCTGTCAACTGAGAACCTTAGAGACTCTAGAAAGCTTCCAAGTTGCCGTACTTGTAACAGAATTAAGAAACCAAATATCTCGCAACGTTCCTGGACGGTATCAATCTGATACTGCCCTAAGAGAACAGGAATCCAGTGGTGTGCATGCCCGTATGCCTCAATCCTCGCGTCATCTCCGAGATTTGAAGCCTGTGAGGCACACTCCCAAACAGATGCTATGTCTTCTAAGATGGCCATTATCTTTTCAGCCAGCAATATTGAAAATGTCATTACTCTAGAACGGTTCCGACACGAAGAGCAATGACTTATAGATCGGCATTGGGAAATCGACTTTTTGAGTAGATGTAAGGAGGTTTCTGCCATGCAGAAAGTAGTGACTTTGCTCTGCGTCTGCATCTTCTCGAGCAGATTCAGCGTCACACCAACACAGCGACAAGTTGCTGCGGCAGCAACACTCATCCGTAAGCCTGGCTCATTGACGGGGCTACCGTGGCCATGGTTGATAGGAAACGATGTTGGAACATTCGAAAGAAAGCTGTTTGAGTGGTGACGAGGGTTAAAGGGCACCGTGGAGCTGATGCCGTGAGATGAGAGGCTGGACGGCGCTCGTTTAGTTGCAATGGAGTCATGTGAGACCTTATGAGATATGTTATCCCTTGTGTGTCTGCTCCGTGGGGGCTGAATAGTATCCCATTGGGAATCGTCTGCATCCGCTTAGCATCGATCACTTGAAGGTGGTTGGAGCTACCTGACGTGGCTCAAAGCTGGAGAACTCTAACTGACCTGAAGACGAATTGCTTCTAGCAAAACTGGCTTCCCGTGTAATTTGCTCGTTCATTGGCGGAGTACTGGATAAAAAACCTTTGCTCGACTCAAGGTTTTCAGATTCTTGTTCTGACAGTGTGGTCTCGGCATCAAGTAACTGCAAGTCGTCCATGTCAAAGTCATGCAGGTCTGACTCCATGTAATTTGGCAAAGCCAAATCCTCGAAGTCGGGGGGTGTTCCAGACGAATCCTCTCGCAGCTGTGTGCTTGGTGATGGGCCCGAGCTGATGAATGTCGGAGTTTGGATGAGCATATTTGCTGACTGGGAGTCCATGTCCATCTCGGCTCGTGCCGGTGAGAAAATTTGGTCCGATGCCGCATCCTTTGACACACATTTGAGTTCAGACAGTTGCTCCGGATGCACCGTTGTCACTTGCTCTTTGGGTGACCCTGAAGGGGGCATCATCGTCGATTCTTCCGACGTAGATGGCGTGAGCTCATGAGCTGTTGTGCTCTTGTGCGGCACAGAGGCCCTTCCGGCTTTGCGACGCCGGTGTGGTACGGTATTGGAGTACGTGCAAGCAAGATTGCGATCTCGGCACCGTTGACAACCAAATCTGTGTCCGGTGCACTTCAACTAAGTGAGAAAGTCAGCTTGGTTTACCATATGGTTCAGCCAGTCGCCTCTACCTTCTTTGTTCGACAGCCGTCACAAGCAAAATGGTTCGTATTTTGGCCGGGTTGCGGTAGTTGGTGTGTACTCGAGATACATACGACCTCACCATCTCGGTCTTCAGTTCGAAGCGTCGCAAACATGATGAGAGAGTTGACTCCTGCGTCCTAACCCAGAGAGTTTTCGGTAAGTTGGAACTAGACGAACGATATCACCACATTCGGGAGCAGAATATCTCCAATTTGAACCATTCGGAAGCTCAAGAGACACCATCTGCATGTCGTGAGGCGGAGTCCGAGAAACACAGGGTGCCCTGTCCATTGATGTAACTCTGGTCTAATCTGCGTCTCCGCTGAATGTCTTGAGATGGAAGGCAACGAACTTAATTCCTAGCGTTGAACTCTAAATAAAGTTTCATCCGCGCGGTCATCTCAGGATGAATATTCCCTATTCGCGTTATCCTCGTACCACTTGTCGAGTCGTCTGGTTCACTGGGACCCAGTAGTCTGGACCTGGCTCTAAACAGAAGTATCCCACATGACGGAATGGCGCCATGGCAGCAAAGCACAGGTGTTGTGGCGGTAGGCCGAGGTCCGGGATGTTGAGCATGAGATTCTCAAGGTATCGCTCCCGCAGTGTCTGTGCCGCACAAGGCGGGTTGTGTCAATAATCACAGAGTAGCAAAATTCCATTCCCAAACGGAGTCAAGCAATATCAGCATCTTCGTCTGGTTTTCTTTTATCCCTCATAGAGTTTGGCAGCGGTTAGGCCTCCGAACCGTAAATCTCAAAATTCGCTTACTGTCTTGGGAGCGAACTCCGGACCGAGCCAACCGTGCTCAAAGTTTGAGTTATTCATACACAAAACGCCGTCTCAAGTTTCTTTCTGGAAGACCCTGAATATCCCGTGCGTGGACGAGTCTCGGAGTTGCCATGAGCGGGCCTAGCCACGTTCTACCATCTCCACCGTCCGCATTCTCCACTGTCCTCCGATCGAGGCCGACTTTCAGTCCGGGCTGAAAGCCGTGCATGACCCTGCAACAGTCAAATGAAACTATCCACTTCCTCAGCGCCCCTTGGCCCTTGCCTCATTCTCACCCGGATCGTTCACCGCTGTTTCCCCAGCCCCCCAATCCCCCCTCCCTTTCTTTTGGATTGACAGGTTGTATCAATATCCAGGTTGTGCTCGCAAGATCGGCAAGGTGGTCTCTAAACGAGAAACCCATACACGAAATAGGATGTTTGCCGAGGAAATACGATGGCCTCGCCCCGTCGGTTTCCTTTTCCTCGTCACTGCGCAATGGGGTAATGATAGACCGTTCTGTTACTCCACAATATAGCTAGGGTTAGTAAAGGTAAAGTTCCAAACGTGGAGTAAACCCTGACGTCCTCCATTGCCGTTCTAGCCTTCAGGTGCCGTAACAATCTGAAGTCCTTTATACGCTTCAGGGTCTCAGGGAGTAAGGGTTCTGCCCCGGGGGTATGATCTTCACTCCCTTCCAGGAAAATCATCAACTGATTACACCACATGAATCGATGTGTGATGTATCAACTTCATCTTGACCGGAAATCACGACTAATGGAATGTGTTGCTGATCATGCAGGCTTAACTTCAGGCAACTGTGCGGTATGCCACTACCGCAAGACATCCGGGTGAACCATTTTCAACATGGACTTCGAAACTTGTGTCCACATACAATCATCGCGACTTCACTTGCACATCCATTCTGTTAACTTTAAAGTAGTGTCTTAAGATGAACGAGCAATATACTAAGCTCAAATCGACGTGACCTTTTCCAAAGGTTTCGCCTTTTCCCACAGAGCCTTCAATCATTCACTCGTCATTAGCATGCCAAAGTATACATGTTTGCAGCATCATGTCGCTCTTTACATAGAATCCATCGATAGAGCGCCTGACATAGACTTGAGGTAAGTATATGTCAACTGAAGCTTCATCCCAAGTTAAAGTTGTTTGATTCTGGTTGGCAAAATTTGTTGACCAGACACAGTTTACCACCAGAGCTCAAGGTCCGACGTAAGAAATTGGAGACAATCAAATTCTGGTGTAATGATTGTCATTATTGCGCAATGGCGACATTCACCAAGGAGTCACGCATGGTTTAGATGATAGGCCGAGAGACTTATTATGGTATTCCAGCAGAAGAGCCTCCTACTGTCTACAGCGCGTCCTGGAACCTTTCGGTAAAGTGGGCGTCAGTAATGTTGCCAGAGCAAAGGTCCATTCATCTACAGTCTAGTCTCTTCAAATGCAGGGTTGTATTCTTTTTCCTAAGCATTTTCCGCTTTCTGGATATTCTCAATCACACAATCTCGCCACCAACACAGAATGAACCCCAGCTATCCCGCCCCGAGGCCCCACCCCCGCATTTCACTAGGACATCCCGACACTCCTCACGTCTCTTCCAATGGAACCTCGTGGTGGTCCCGGAGGCTCAATTCATGAGTCTGTAAGAAAGAGGTTCTTAAGTATCCTCCAATTTCTTAGCACTTTTGTTTGCCTCCTCGTTGATAAGTCCTCTGGGCCAAGGCAGCCGGTCCTACAACTTTCCTCGCGCTCTTTGTCCCCGCTCGTGATCAATCTTTCGTTTTCTTACCCACCTAACTTCCTGGTATCGTACTCATGCACCATGAACAAGATGTCAATCCTGCCTATCCAGAAGCCGCGGCAGCACGAACAAGTGGACAGTAAATTGAAAGAACAAACACTGGGAACAGTTCAACTACGCGACAATGAAACAAATGAAATCATCTTGGTTCCTACGCCCTCAAATGACCCCAAGGATCCTCTCAACTGGTGAGTTGCAATAACACTTCATATCGCTCCGAAACTCCACAAGTCGGGAGACACATGTGCTAAATTGCAACGTACCTAGGTCATCCACCCGCAAATACTACATCTTTTCGCTTACATGCTTTGGAATCTTCTTCGCTCATGCTGTGATTGTCGGGCCTGCTGTTGCTCTGGAGTTGATTACTATCGAATTCTTCGGTCCTGGACCCGACTCTGTGCGGAACAACATTGCCAAAGCATCATACCTCCAAACCGGGTGTTCACTCATGATTGGTGTGGGCAATCTTATCTGGGTGCCTCTCGCTATCAAGTACGGCAGAAGACCTGTGTATATCGTGTCCTATCTTTTGCTTACGGCAAGCTGCATATGGAGCGGTGTGGCAGCTTCTTTTGGCAGTGCACTTGTTGGCAGGCTGTTTCTCGGCTTTGCTTGTGCTGCTGCGGAAATCGTCGCACCTCTGACAATCACTGATCTGTTTTTCTTGCACCAACGCGGGCGTGCCATGGTGTCAGTTCATCCTCCTTTGGCTACGACTTCGGAACCCCTAAACTAAGGTTGAATGATGCTGACAGGTTGGGACTAGTATCTACACATGCTCGTTATCTGCAGGCGTCGGTGTTGGCGTGGTGTTTTCTGGCCTGATTACGCAAAGTTACAGCTGGAGGATGATATTCTGGGTCTTTTCTGCCTTCGTCGGGACTTGTACGGTCCTGGTCCTGTTCACCTTTCCCGAAACACATTATCGAAGGCGGTCTACAATGGAGCTAGAGGTGGTATCGACCAGACGTGATTCTGCCAAGCCATGTTCTCAGTATCTCGAGGACCCTCCTTCTTCTTCTTCACACGCGTCATCTCCATCGAAGTGGAAGACCTATCTGGCAGCCATGAGAGTCTTCTCGGGGACTTACACTAGCGAACCTCTTCTGGCTCTGATGTTCCGTCCTCTTGTCGCCATTGCTCTGCCGGCTGTGTTCTGGGCAACCTTGGTCAACGCAATCACGACTGGCATGATCGTTGTGATATCCGCCAACTTCTCGAACGCCTTTTCAACGGTCTACGATTTTCAGACCTGGGAATCTGGTTTGACGTACCTATCTACAATACTTGGCTCCTTTCTAGCCATTTTTTGCGGCGGTCACTTCACAGACTGGGTGGCAGACAAGCTGACGATTCGGAGCGGCGGAACTAGGATCCCCGAAATGCGGCTACCTGCCATGGTAATCAGCCTGATCACGGGTCCCCTATCATGCATTCTATACGGTTTAGGCTTCGAGAAGGAACTGCATTGGATATGTCCCACCATTGGCATTGGTCTTGGTATGTTCATCCATTTTTGTCTGAGTCTCTTACGCATACGAACAATAGAATAAGAGATTGGGGGTTCACAAGCTAAGTTTAAAGTAGTGAACTTCACGACAGTACAGTCTAACAACGTGGCTCTGGTTTACATCCTTGATTCGTATCGACCTATAGCGGGCGAGGTTATAGTCACGCAATCCTTCTTCAAAGGTGAGACAAGTCCTTAAGGGTGTTCTAAGACGTGTTTGTGTAGCAGATACTCTTGGGCTCTCAAGATCTCCTGCATTGAATCTGAAGGACTGACATTCTAATAGCTGTTCTTGGATTTCTTCTAAGCTTCTACGTCAATGTTTGGGTTCAAGAATCAGGATACCTCTCTGCCTTTGGAACCTTGGCAGGTATATCTGCGACCGTGTTCTTGTCAATAATTCCCTTCTACTTTTTTGGAGATCGAATGCGACAGGCAACATGGAAGTGGAAATTTTCCAGACAGTTTCTCCATTGGCATCCAGATCGAGAGGTTGGCGAATAGACCACCTCAGTAGGCGCTACGTTGTACGCTCGGTGTCCGAACAGCACTCTTTCCCTGCGAGTATGTGATATTTCACAAGACAAAGGCAGTAGAAATCCCAACGGTCACTCACTTAGTCTTACAAAGTTTCAATACATATATATTTCCTATACTTTCTGGACCTTCAGTCCATGTAAAGCCCCCCGTTAACGAACATGTGTTCTCCATTGACCCATCGTGATCGTTCTTCACAAAGAAACGCCACTGCGTCCGCTATCTCTTCTGGCTGGCCAAGCCTTTTCTCTGCTGGCGTTGCTTCAATTGTAGGCCCTAGAACCTTCATTGCTTCATCCCCAGCGCTCAAAAAACCTTGCGTCGCAGTAGGGCCGGGGGACACGGCATTGACGGTACATCCATACTTTGGGGGTAGCTCCTTTGCCCAAACCCGGGTGAACGAATCCACCATGCCCTTGGTTCCAGCGTAAATAGTTTGCAGCGGAGGGGCAGCGCGGGAACTAATAGATCAAACGTTGACAATGCGTCCACTTCCATGTGTAAGGTATGACAGAGCCTGCTGCGTCAAGAGAAAGGTTCCACGGCCGTTTAGGTTGACCAGAGAATCCCAGTGATCGAGCGTTTGTTCTTCGAATGGCAGGTTGATGGCAATTGCGGCGTTATTAACAAGAATGTCAATATGACCATAAACCTCGACTACACTCTCAATCAATCTCTTCGGTCCGTCCACCGTGCTCATGTTGGCCTCGATCGCGATTCCGGGGGTGATAAGAGTTGCGGCTACCGCAGCCGCTTCCTCAGCTAGGGAGGCGTGTGGGTAGTTGATCACAGCGTGGGACCCTCGAGCACTGAGTTCCTTTGCTATTGCATGCCCTATACCACTACAACTGCCGGAAACCACGGCTATCTTGCCTGCCAGACTCTGATTCGCGGCCATCGCGTAGTACGCTTGAATCTGAATGGGGGCGTACCCGAGACAGATTCGTACTATGATAAGCGAAGTCTATGCAGTCGTCAATTTTCGAAGTATTTAGCAGTATCGATTCCGGCTAACTTAAGCTGTGATGCATAGCTATAATGGTCAGTCCACGTTCACGAGGGTGGGTTGATTTTCCCGGCTCGTGTCGATCCCCCGCTCCCGCCCTCAAACCCACTGCCGACGTGGTATCGAATACCGGGCCGGAAAGTGGGGGCATAGAGTCCACTTGCCGTTCCGCCATTCGCGTTCTCCTCTCATAAATCGGTAGATCGGTAGATGCGTCGTGCTTCTGGCGTCTTTCACCCGGTATTTCCTGATGCTGTGGTCCGAATCAGTGCCGCTCGGGTCCGATTCGACGATGAGAGCGCGCTGCAACCAGCGTTAAAGTCAAAGCTCACGAAAGAAATGCGATGCCACTTCCGCTCCCATAAGAAAAGAGATGCGAGGGGATCTGATCAAACATGGATTCGCTTCTTATATGCAAATTCACTCAGGCCTCTTCGCTACGCATTTCATCGCTCTTTTCGAAAATCAGGTTGACATTTCGTCGCGCCATTGGTCCATGATGCAAGAATGCTGATTGGGCCTTTAGAAGACATCAAACGACGTGCTAACCCGATTCAAGTCTCTTCCGAAATTTGAATTATGGAGTAAAATTTGAAGAAATCTGGATCAGAACAGAAGATTTTTGTGCCGGTATCGTCCAGCTGTCGAAAGGGAAATGAGTTGCTTCTTGATTCTGGAAGGTAATGGGGTCTGGAAACCCTTTCGCTAGACGTTTACAGTCTATATCAAAAGCATCCTAGAAATCATCTCAAATTTTGTGATTCAACCGATGGTCTTAGACTCTATTCCATACCGACCAAGTAGTCTGGGTCAAGAATCTTCATGACATTCGGCTCAGCTTTCCTGTCTTCAAGCTCATGCTCATCCCAGTGCACATAATCCACGTCACATAATTCCTGTAGTGACGCGCATGGATTCCCAAGACTCGAATTTCTTACCGGTATTAGCGGGCGTCTTTGCTCCAACCCCTGGGCGGTCCTTGGCCCAATCCTTCAAATCAGCCTTGTTCATTCCCGTGTACTTTTGCAAATCTTCCTCGGAAATCTCGGCTCGGTTTTTGTCTTGCATGCGTTGATAGAGTGACCTCTTCTTGGGTGCGGTCGTCGGCTTGGAGTCGGAAGTTTCGTGCCTCACAAGCGGCGTTTGACTCTCGGTTTTGCTGAGTTGATCAGACATTATGATGCGAATGCTTGCGGTGCAATGAGTGAATGGGCCGGAATCTTTCAATCGGACTGATCGGGTACCGATGAAATTATTTGGAAACAGGTTAGAAGCAGAAGGCTTCGGTGTGATTTGGTTCTGAGCCGTGAAAAGTTGAGCTCTGAGCAATGTATTGGCATAAAAAAAAAATTCTTGGAGCTTGGTGGTTGTTCTTTTGTTTCGGTGGATTTTTAGCATGAATGTGCTCAAGGGGCGACGTGTATCTGACACTTATATACACGTGAAATTGTAGTTGCCAAGATGCCCTCACGCCACATGTAGGTAATAGTGCCGACCACTTTCCTTGCATTCAGAATGAGGCCCGTTGTGTAACTACCTTGCTTTACGGCACAGCAGCCAACAACGCCCTGGCGGTCACGAGGACGAGGCACAGCTCAATCGCCTTCCTATCTTGGACTCAATAGTGGATATGTTGGTCGCTTGCAAACATGTATTGGCTTGCTCCGAGTTCCCCAGCCATCGCGGAGCCTCAAAGTGGGACGAGTGGGTAAATGCAAGTAATCACATGGTTTCATCGGGCAACGTGAAGTTGTGGCTAGCTTATATGGAGAGAACGGCAACCCCGAGAACGGCAGTGCGCTTGGAATATGCTCTCACGAAGCAGGAGAGCCAATACGAATGGCTTCACCTTGTTGTCGTTGTATTTCACATTATCTGCAACAGACTGTCAAGTGGCCGAAGATAGACAATCGTGGTATTATCACAACAAGATACGATGATGGAACTCGCGTCGCTCGCTCTCAAGAACTAATGGACCACCACTGGGGCCACTAGCATCCAGACTCAACGTCACCCGCTGCAAGTCAGCAACGACTCGTACTGTTTCTCCAATGTTTTGGTAGTCGATCTCATGGTGTCCAGCTGTCTCGTCGTTTTCCTCCTTCTTGACCTCGCGGATTTCCACGTTAGGATAGGGCAGCCGCCCTTCGCGCAGCGGAACGATGAGTACCGGAACATGCAACTCGGATTCTCCAAACTTGGCGTCCGACTTGTCTACTCCCAGGCTCTTGAAGTTGCCGCGCTTCCGGCCACCGATGAGCCATGTGTCACCCGTGCCAGTCACATCAAAGCTGAACTCGTAGTCCCTATTGATGCCTTTGCCATCGCTGACAGCTGTGTCCCAGATGCGCGTCCACCGTAGACGTAGATTGGCAGATAGCAACTGATTGACGGCGAGGGTTGAACCTGCTATCTGCTCGTCGGGCGGTGGGAGCTGAATATCGACCGAGTGAAAAACGGGAATAGAAGGAACATCTACAGGAATGAGAATAGATCGACTAGTCGACTCAATTCCCGTGACGGTCAACTTTGGATGCGCTGATTGCCAGGAGAGAAGAAATGCTCGAAGAGCTGTAGAAGCGTCTCCTTCGCCGCCAGGGCCTGTACCCAGGCCCCTGAAGATCTTTTCTGATAGCAATGGCGATACGAAGGCCGTGGAAACCTCGCCGAGGAGGGCGGCCCGTTCCAAGTCATAAGCTGAAAGACTTGACCGCAACTCTGCAAGGACGCGGTTGATCAACAAACCTGAGAATGAGGATAAAGGGGATTCCTCAATAAACTTCGACAAGGAGTCTTCGACGAGAGCAATAATCTCATCCAAGACAACGCTGTAATGAAGCTTCAGATACAGGGTCCGCTGGGTCTTCGGTGTAGTGTTGCTTAAAGCTTTGCGTGTAATCTTGTAGAGCAGACTGGCAGGCTGCTTCGGGAACACCACGACGGCTTTGTTTGGCGGGGCTGCAGAATGGGCAGCAAACACATCAGAGTCAATGAGATGTGTCTTAAACACTCTGAGCGGGCTCAGCGAGGCTGTCGAGACGCTGAAGCGGGAAAACAAGGCATTGTGTTTGAAAACGTCCTGAACATTAACGCCCAAGGCGAGCGCCACAGGGACCGAGAACACATTGGAGTAGGTGAAAGTGCCCTCGTCTGTAGTGTAAGTCATTTCGACTCTGGTCGAAATACTTGGAACATCTTGCTCGATGGTGTACGGAAAACGCATTTTGATGGCGGACGACGCAGTGATGCTTCCGAAACGAAAAAGTCCGGCTTCCAAAGGCTTCTCATATTCGAGTGCGGGTCCAAGGAACTTTGCTTCGGTCGAGATGATTCGAAGACCGCCGGTCGACGGTTTCACCGAAAGTTCACAGGACTTGATGGAGTTCCATCCTGTTAAGAGTTCCAAGTCAAGTGAGCTGTTCTTGTCCAGTTGAATGTCTCTTGCCGCCGTTAGGCGACAGCTCAGGCCGCCAGCTGGGCGATAGAGTTCCAGGTCGGGCAGGCGGAAGATCTGTGCCGTCTTGCTGGGTGTTTGGTTGACGTCTCGCTCCCAGTGGAGGTCGACCTTGTTGCAAATCAAATCTGCCCGGTCAATCCTGTAGTGACCAGCAACGTTTGTCTGGCTCCTGTTAGTCCACCTCTCGATATGTCGTCGGTGTGCTACTTACAGTGCTGGTAAGCTGCAACTCGTTGATCCCTGGCTTAAGGGTGTTGGCCTCGCAAGTGTGTAGCCAAAGCTCCTTCGTTCCTCCGGATGACGTCCGGGACAAACGAATGGCAGCCTTCTCCAAGCTCAGGTCATCTATAAGCAGGCTTCTTAGCTTAATGCTGAGGGAGAAACAGTCTTTGCCAGTGTGGTAGGCTGAGTGCCCGACGACTTCAACTTGTGTGAAGAGATGCCCCAGAGGCACCCTGACCTCGTTGGACAGTGTTTTGGCCACGCTCAAGACTTCATCGAGGAAGCCAGCGATTGCGCTTTTCTCCGGATACTGGACCTCCATTTGAGCTGCAATTGACGACTTCTTCTGTTGAAGTTTCTCATTTTCTGCGGCGGCTGCCTTCGTCAAGAGCTTCAGTCCCACACGGACAAATTCGTCTTTACGCTGGAGCTCCTTCAGACACCGAGAGTACATGACAAGCATGGACAGCTCCAACAGGCTCCAGCTGTTCTCGCCAAAAAATGGTGTAGTCATGTAGAAGTATGACGCGGAGGGGCCGTAGTCGCCAAGGTGATACTTGAGCACGGCGAGGTCGGCCATGCTAGTCTTGACTGCATGTGTGTGGTTGGCCACAGTGTAATGGCGCAAAGCCTTGTCTGTCAGTGTTTCGTACAGACGATAGAAGTCGTCTCTGCTGTCGAGCGCAGTGTGTAGAAGGCCGTTTTCAATGCCAGCCAGGCCTATACAAAGCGATTCCTGGTTATCCGCCTGCGACTTCTGATCATCACCGTCAAGATCAACGTCTTCAAAGTCGTTGCCATCCATTTCCCCCAGTACTGGCGCAGATGTCCATCCGGTATCCCAGCCTCGTTTCTTTCCGCTACCTTGGAGAACATTCCTAGACAGGGCGTATAGCTCTGCACGACGTGCAGCGAGCTCCTCCAGGCCAGCTTTGAGAAACTGGGCGTTGGCTGGTGTGTTGTCATCGGGGTTGGTTCCTGTACCTCCGGGAAATATTCCAGGACTAGGTGGTGGTCTGGTACTCGTGTCGGAACCTGTTCCCACGCGCAGAGAAGAGTTTCTAGCAGGGTGCAGCATAGTCTTCAACTCGGGAATTGACGACTTTGGCTCATGGCCGTCGGATGGAGTCAGTGTAGACGGGGGTATGGGCAGTGCTCTGCTCGATGTTTGAGCAAGGATCTGTTGCGCGACGGAAAATGCGAAGGAGGCAACAAGATTGTCAATAGCTTCTGCCAAGACGGGGTTAAGAATCGGGGAATCTTCCTCGGTAAGCTTGTTCTTCAACGCAGCCAAGATGTCGGCTCTCATAACTTGCGAGACAGCCGGTACGAACTCCAGTGTCCTGCGGCAGATCTCGGCCAACATGGATAGGTTTTCGGCTTCATCTGTCTGCTTTGGGGGCAGCGCTTGCGGTGCAACACCGTGAAGGACGGACTCCTGCTGCTCTCTAAGCTTTGCCAGGAGGTCTTCCCTAGTTGACCAGGCATTGCCAAGGCGGAGCAGCAGCGATATCTGTCTCGCAAAAATGTAGCAGCGGAAGTCAAAGACTGACACATTGTTGGCGACTATCATTTCGCGGTACGGCTTTTTCGTTGCGCTGATTGGAATGTCGTCGAACTTGTCCGTTTTGGAGGCATCTGCGGCCTGTAGATCAACAGGCTGATCATCATCCAGAGATCCGTCTTCGGCACCCAGCTCCGCTACGGCAGCCTCAGCTCGCCTCACGAGGTCCTCTGTGTGGCTCAATAGGGAGCCTCCGTGCGTCTGAGGATCTCCGGATGTGGCCTGTTCCTGAATGACGGTGTCAAGACCAACACTGAGCTCGTCGTAGCCGACCAAGGCATCCTCCACAAGACCGACGCTCTCGAAACCACGCGCAAGACCCTCCTTAAGTATGAAGAAGGTACAGAAGTTCCAGCCCGGTAGAACCCGCTGAGCGTCCTTCTCCTTGATGTCCTCCTCGTATTGGGACACCCTCATGTCAAAGGATGACAGAATCAGTTCCTTGAATTTTCCAATAAGGTCATCCCATGCGTTTTCGGCATCCTGACGCGACTCGGTATAACCAGTTGGGGTGGCGGGAACTACTCGAGGCAGTACATCGTACGGAACGTCGTTGATGCCGATGCGAATCTGGGCCACATGGTCGATCGCGCCCTTGCTAGAACTGTTGAAATCAGACCGAAGCTTCTCCAACAGTGTCGAGGATCCGGAGCCCCATCTTGATGACCTTGCCTTCTCGGCAGCATCAAGGCCCTTCCCGCTGACTCTGGGCTGATTTGCCGCAAAAGTATTGGGTATTACGACATGAATAATCAAGAACTCGAAGGCATCGTGGTTCTCTTGTGTGTTCAGCTTCCGGGTAGACTGGGAGGGCGGCGTGTTCTTCTTGATCCATTCTCTGATCTCCGCCCTTGTTTGGGATTTGTATGTGTCGCTGTCGTCGCATCGAACGAGCAGGACCTTGAGGTAGGGGGTTCGCCTCAGTCCTGGTATTTGGTGACGCCGTTCCTTTCCAGGCTGCCGCGCCGCTACTGTTGGTGTATCGGAGATGTCTGAAGATGTGCTTTTGCCTCCAATTGACTGCGTCTGGAAGCCATCATCCTTTGCGCCAGCGCTGACTGATCGGCGAAGCGAAGGAGAGATGGTTGGCGAGATCGGGGCAGCTGGGTCTCCGCCAGCAGGTGTGAGCTCGACGTGGAGGGTATCGATCGAGCGCAAAGGTCCAGCATGCGATTGCCAATGAAGATTTCTGAGAGGAAGTCGTGGAATGAGGCCCGGAGTGACGAGCTTGTAGACGTCGTGGGGATCGAAGTACTCGACTGCGAATAGCATGCTTGGTCAGTTTGGGGACAGCGCAGTCGAGTTACGAACGAGTAGGCCAACGAGAGACAACAACGGATTGTGAGACGCGTAGAGCTTACCTGTGACTTTGGAGGTTGAAAAAGGCCGCTCCATCTTGAACGGCTCCTCCAATTTGGACTTTTAAATTACATGGTCCGTCGCGGCTTCATTTACTAAATTGCGCGGCGGGTGGGTGCCGGTCGAATGCAAGGTGTACAACTCGCCTCGGTGAGGTTCTAGCTTCGGTGGGGACGGGGCGCTGGACGCGATTCAGCGAGCTTGGAGCTGGAACTTGAAAGGGGGACCCGTTTGTTGGAATTGGAGCCTTGGGTGTGTGGACGGGAGGATTGGAAGCTGGCGAAATGCGCCGGCCAACGGCAGCCGAAACGGCGGGACCCCTGGTCGGCCCCGGCCTGGTAGGTACCTTGGTAGCTCAGCCTCCGATGATTCGCCGAAAGCGGTGTGCGGGCCGGTGCTGGAATGGTTGGTCCAAGATGACGCTGCTTGCTGCATGCCGATGGAGGGGCACGGCAGAATCTTTTCTTTTGGTTTTGATTTGGGAAGAATTGCCCCTCCTCTGCCTTAAATCAGGAACCTGGAAGTGCCCTACCTTACTTTACCTAGCATTTCTTAAAGCGAGATCCCTTTTACGTCCTTTTTCTCCAACACCGTCATCATTCTTGCTCGATTTCAAGATGTCGGGACTTCAAGCTGTCAAGTACACTCGTGGTCGTCTCGAGGTCCTGGACCAACTGAGACTACCTCATGAATTCCATTACGATGAGGTGTCCACCAGCGAAGAGGCTTTTGACTGTATCAAGTCTATGAGAGTTCGTGGTGCCCCTGCCATTGCTATTGTCGCCGCCCTCGCCCATGCTGTCGAGCTACACAACGGCAGCTGCACTGCCTCTTCATCTCAAGAAACCGTCACTTACATCGACTCGCGTTTGGATTACCTCAAGGAGAGCAGACCGACTGCAGTCGATTTGACCAACGCCATCAACCAACTCAAAGCCCGTATTAGAAGCGCGCCTCTGGATGACTCCAAGACTGTCATTGCTGCGTACATCGAGGAAGCCGAGAAGATCCTGCAAAAAGATCTTCAGACCAACCTGTCTATTGGTGACCATGGAGCTCAGTGGTTGAGAGAGGTAGCTGGTGCCTCTCCCGACTCCAAGGTGTCCGTTCTCACTCACTGCAACACCGGCTCTCTGGCGACCTCTGGCCATGGAACCGCCCTTGGCATCATCAGAACACTCTGGTCCAACAACCTTCTCAAGCACGCCTACTGTACCGAGACAAGACCCTACAACCAAGGTAGCAGGCTGACCGCCTTTGAACTTGTCTACGAGAACATCCCCAGCACTCTCATCACAGACTCCATGGCTGCTGCGCTGTTCAACTTGCAAAAGGACAAGATGAACATCGCCGCCGTCATCGTTGGTGCTGACCGCGTTGTCCGCAACGGTGACACTGCCAATAAGATAGGAACCTATCAACTCGCCGTTCTGGCCAAGCACCACGGCGTCAAGTTCATCGTTGCCGCGCCCACCACCAGCATCGATCTCGAGACCCAGACCGGCGCCGGTATTAAGATTGAGGAACGCAAGGGGGAAGAACTCACGCAGGTTTCCGGTGCAGTCGTTCAGGTCGATGGAAGCGTCGATGTGACTCAGACAGCGCGTGTAGCGACGGCAGATCAGCGTGTCAATGTCTGGAACCCTGCTTTTGATGTTACTCCGCATGACCTGATCGATGCTGTTGTTACGGAGAGGGGTGCTGTAGTGAAGAATTCCGAGGGTCAATTTGATTTCCGTCACATCATGCCCGAGAGATGGGCGCAGGTTGTCGGCCAGTAGTGGGCATCTGTTAATTTTTTTATTTTTTTTAAGCATGGATGATGATGATCATTTTGAGTTGGAGGCTGAAGTCAAGTGTATGTACAAAATTAGATTTCGTCTATAAGGGATATGGCGTAACAGCAGGGTGCAGCCTGGAAACCGTCGCATGATACTAAGCAGAGTCCTTAAGCGCATGCAGGATCAGCTTTTGGTACCCTCCCACGGATTCTTCAAGCTCGGCAACGGTGATGTTCTCGTTGCGACCATGTGCAACCAAAATAGTGCCTGGTCCATATAGATAGCGGGTATGCGAGCCTTTCAGGTTCGGGATATCAGTGCCATAGTTGGCCACAAGGGTATCAAATCCTATGCCATGAACGGTCAGTAATTGTTCATACTGCTTGGACTGTGGAATTCAAGCGCAGGGGATCTCACCATCAACGTCACAGTTGGCCTCCACCACGCCATATCCGTGAGTGCATGTCAGCTCGAGGGACTCGGCATCGGTATCGTCAAGAATCTTCTGGATTCTCTCCTTGACGATGTTGCCGCCGTCCTTTTCGGGGCCAATGGCGACCCGAACAGCTATCCTTGCCAGGGCAGCAGCAGGAATAACATTCTGAGCAACGCCACCGTTGAACTGGCCAACATTCACAGTGGTGTTGCCCCACTTGTCGGTGCTTCCGAGATCTGTCGTGATGATTTTGGCGAGGGCCTTGATCATGATTTCGTTGGCCGACTTGCCGAGCCATGGGTAGCCAGAGTGTCCAGCAACACCCTTGGCCGAGATATCGCAAAAGACGCCGCCCTTGTGGCCGCAAGCGAGCTTGTTCTCCGTAGGCTCCCCGAAAATGACGGAGCCAAATTGCACCGGCGGGTCGGCTTCCTGAAGAGAATCGGAGAAGAAACGCATTCCATCGCCAGTGTCCTCCTCGCCGATAACGAACAAGAGCATAGCATCTTCGGGTTTGACTTTGCCGGCCTCGAACAAATCCTCGAGAGCAATAATCTGAGCAGCAACGCTGGCCTTGGCATCAACGCTTCCTCTTCCACTAATACGAGTGTCGGGGGTTATTTTGTCGTCGGATATGCCGTAGGGGATATGAGGCGGCACAACATCGTAATGCGATGTGACCACAATGCGAGGGGTTGGCTGGCGTTGGTTCGTCTTCCAGGCCAGAACATTAAACCGCGGGGTCTCCTCCGTCTTGTTGTTGCGCGGCGGCAGGAATTGCAGAGACGAGACATAGCCCCGGCCGGTCAGATAATCGACCAGGAACTTTCCAGCGGCGCTCTCATTGCCTGAGATGGAGGGGATCTCAATGAGAGATCGATGTAAAGAGATGAGGTCGTCGCGCCAAGATGGAGCAGCGGATGAGGGCGATGAGCTTGGAGCCTGCGGGGAAGATTCAACGCCGATGGGCTGCTGAATGCGCGAAGCAGCGGCAAATGAGAGCACAGAGCTCAAGGTCAGCAGTTGAGAGACATGCATGGTGGTGGCGGAGCTTAAGCCTATGAAAGGGTTGGTTATTTTGACGGTTCTCAGAGCATCGACCAGAGGATAGTAGTCTCAATTGGAGAGATGGGGGCGCCGCTACAAATCACTAATGGCCGGCGGCGGGCGTGAGAGTTTCCCGAAGACTTGGCTATGGTGCAACCGCAACCGGAGCGGTGTCGGAACGAAGTGGGCGGAGATCAACTTGGGAGCTCAGGTCAAGAGTCAAGCCTCACGAAGAGGTGCGATAAAGTGATACGAATGATAAGACTCAGATAACCAGAGAGGTCTGAGAATGAGGTGGAATGAGGTCATTCCATCCCAAGCTCCCGTCATTGGCTCCAGCCACAGGCACGGACTTTTAGGCTATCAGCCACCCCCATGTTCCCGCAGGGGCAGGAGATGATCCAAGCTTTTCAGGTTGGTCCCTCGATCCAATGAGACGGCAGTGGGGGGAGAGCCTCATCAGTGCAGTCTCAGTGAGCGTCTCAGACAAACGAGGTACAGTGTAGACTTGGAGATGGAGATGCTGACGAACGTTTGAATCTTGAAGTCAGTAACCCTGATTTCACTGCTGCTTTTTGAAAGTACTGTCTCCTCTTGTAACGAGGTCTCGCCCCGCTCGTCAGGCGTACAATGATGTGATGAAGAATATCTTTAGTGCTGGCAAATAATGAGCCTGGTCTCAAGTATATATTTTGCCTAGCCTCACTAGACCTCCACCGACGACTGTAGTATCAAAGCTCCTCTTGCAATCTGTGCAAACCGACTGAAACAACTTGTTTTAAGATATGGTCAACGTGACCATTCTCTCACTTGCAAACGGCCAAATGCCATCGTCTCGTCTCCTCGTACCTGATGACTCTATTGAGCTCAACTTCCTCCAAAGGTCAATCTAAGCGGCCCGAGCAAGGCGGTCATTGATGCCCAGTCGAGACCACATGGATAGTACGGAGTATTCAATCCGGGGAAAACATTGGCAGCTGGCATTGCTAGAACTCTGCAACCGAAGAATTCCAGACCGCCGAGGGAACAGGGTCGCGCCCATTCCTTCCCCAGACCTGCTGATCTTGGGCAATCACGGCAATGTACCTTACCTCGAGTTCCAGTCTATGTCCTCACAGAAGGAAGACTATTTGACGACCCTTCCCTCGCCTTGATGTAGGTTCTCCGTAGTGCTGTACTCTCGGTAGGTACGAATAGATACCTGAGGTGAGGTACCTTAGTCGTGTGTCAATCGCCGGGCGACCCACTTGACCGCTGCTCCCTGCCTCTCTGGGACGCACTTGGTTGGAGCGCTGAAATGGGGGTACCTCCCCCAGGTACCTGGTCCGTTCCGTTTCCCGTCTTTCCTGAGGTACTCACTTCCCGCCTTGCCTCGCCATACCTTACCACATCTATCAGCAGCAATCGAGCACTGATTCCTGACTCCCAATTAGCACTGGACGCTACCTTTCCAGACAGGGGCCGTTCGTGAATTCAGCAAACTTCCCCAGCCATTACATTCCACGATCCTGGAGCTGCCAACCTCAACTTGCGCTCACCAACAGCTTCAACTGCAACGCCGTAATCCTTCGACAACCTGTCCCACGCGCACTCGATCCCCAACAGGGCCATTCAATCCCTTCCTCTCATCTTGCTTGTTCTAGATGCAGCTTGCACTCTTTGCGCGCCATCGTGAGCTCCCGAGACGTCGATTCTAAACCTCCTCACGCCTGCCCGGACCCGAACCCCGATTCTCAAAGTCGAGTTGCCGTCTGTCTTGCTCGAGCCCGCCCGCTTTGCCTGGCTTCGCTTCGGTCGGCTTTGACGTGCCTGGTCATCGCCTTGCGAAGGGATGCAGGCCAACAGAGGAAACGCCGAGGCCCTGAGTCGCAAGGCCAAGGTGCGTCACCCAAAATACCACTTCCCGTCATACCATGGCTTTCTTTCGCGACCCTCCCAATCGCCTTGCGTCATGGTCCACCAAGTCGACTCTTTGGCTAACAACCCTTGTGACAGCTTGCTCGCTCGTACCAGGAGCTCCTCGAGTGAGTTCCACTATCCGCCCGCTCCGGTGTGAATCCTAGGCTAACCTCCACTGCCTCCAGCGAATTTTCCAACAAAGACCTCAGCTCCGTCGGCAACTACACGCTCGGTCGTCTCATCGGAAAAGGTTCTTTTGGCAAGGTCTACTTGGCATCTCACAAGCTCACCAATGGCTCTAAGGTACGCAACGGCCGACGCCATGGGACAATCATATCGATTCTTGGTTGGCAATACTGATGACTGGGGTACAGGTCGTTCTCAAGTCCGCAAACAAAGGGGACTCGAACCTCGCACGCGAGATACACCACCACAGACAATTCGTCCACCCGCATATCGCCAGACTGTATGAGGTCATAGTCACTGAGAACCTGGTGTGGTTGGTATTGGAATACTGTGCTGGTAGGCTTTACCGTTTTATTGCTGACATGGAAATTGGCGGTTGACAAAAACTCAATAGGCGATGAGCTCTACAACTATCTCCTCGAACATGGCCCCCTCCCCGTCCACAAAGTCCAGAAGATTTTCGCCCAACTCGTTGGAGCTGTCGCATACGTACATCAACAGTCATGTGTCCATCGTGACCTGAAGCTAGAAAACATACTGTTTGACAAGCACGAGAACGTCAAACTTGTGGATTTTGGTTTCACCAGGGAATACGAGGGCAAATCTAACTACCTGCAGACGTTTTGCGGCACAATATGCTACTCGGCGCCCGAAATGCTCAAAGGCGAGAAGTACGCCGGAGAAAAAGTCGATGTTTGGAGTCTTGGTGTTATCCTGTATGCTCTGCTTTGCGGAGAGCTACCGTTCGACGATGACGACGACACCGTTACACGGACAAAGATCCTCAGCGAAGAACCGAAGTTCCCCGATCATCTCCCTCCTGCCGCCATTCCATTACTCAAGTCTCTACTCTCGAAGCGACCCCTACTTCGACCCTCCCTCCCCGACATCCTCACCAACCCTTTTCTCGCCGAACACTCCCCAGCACAACAGGCAATCCTAAAGTTACAAAGGCCACCACCTTTCTCAACGCATCTAGAGAAGGAGACTCTTCAGCGCATGCGGGGAGCGGGTGTTGATATTGACTCTATCATCGAAAGCGTGTTGGCTCAGCGGTGCGACGCTTTGGCTGGCTGGTGGACGCTGCTTATCGAAAAGGAACAGCGGAAAGTCAAGAGGAGGGATAGGAAACGACGAGAAAGGGAAGCTGAGAATAGGAGCCTGCGTCGTCTATCCGCCGCATCCAGCAGACTCGAACGGATTGCGCCCGTGTTGCAAGAGGTCGACGAGGACGGCGGGCTGACAAACCGCTTCATCAGACTCGAAGACGGGCCTATAACGCCACGGACAAGAGGCCGGTCAGAGAGGAGAAGTGCGCATTACTCCGACTTGGGGGACTTGCCCGGCCTGCCCGAGCACAGCAAGGAAAACGGAAGTCCAGATACAGAGGAACCACCTCCACCAATCGATAAGGATTCGATCCGGTCTGCCAGTACGTCTAGACATCGTCGCCCGGTTCCGCCCCCTAAGGAGGGTGTGATCCGTAGCGCGAGATCTCGGGGTTCGACCCTTCATCTAGTGACTACATCGGAAGCTTTGGCGGCTAACGGGACGCCAGAGCGACCCCCTGAACAACAACAAAAAGTACGCAAGAAGCCCTCACAGGCCATTATTGCACATTGGAAAAATTGGACGCACTGGTTCTTCGAGAATACCCGAAGGGGACGGCACGCAAACAAGAGAGGAAGTCACTCGACGCCTAACCTGGTCGATAAAAACGGCAGTGTTGCGGGCAGTAGCAGTAAACACTCCAAGGACACAAGTCCGCGCCCGCAGACAAGCAAATACCCAACAACGGATGCTGCGGCCCCTCAAGGAAAGGCAGGACTGCCCCGTGGTGTAGTGGCTAATGGCCATGCCAACAAGGCTTTGCCAAGTCACGGAGGGTCTGGGGGCTTCAGCAGTCCGGCATCAGGTGGAGGCTCTGCTCCCTCACGGGTACCGTCCCGGATCACAACATCCTATAAGCGACAATCATTGTCGCCATCTCCCATGACCCCACGGACTACTATGCGACGCTCCTCGGCAGGTTTGAGGGGCCGCAAGTCCACTTCGTCATCAGTCTCATCCATCCGCTCAATGCCTCACCATCATCACTCTCATTCCAAAGCTTCATCAACAAGCTCCAACGGGTCGGTATCGACTTCCATGTCCAAGAACACCCTTCAGCGCGGACAGTCGCCCCATCACTCCGTCAAAGTTCTCCCTGCCACTCCCACCGCAACCGCTTTCCCGTCGAATATCCGTCTAGTTCGAGGTCCTGGTCCCCCGGCTCCCCTTGCTTTATTCAACGAGGGCATGCCACCGCCACCAGCAACATCGGGAATGCAAGCTCCAGGCTCGCCTAACCCCTTTGCTCTAGGAGGGGGCATTCAATTTGCCAAGCGAAAGCGGAACATCTTCAAGGGTCCAATGCTGGCCTTTGGCGGAGGTGGTAGTGGAGGCGGCGGCGGCGCAGGCGGAGGAAGCTCACGGAGCACAAGTTCCAACCATTCACGGAGTGCAAGTGCTTCTGGTATCGGACGTCGGTCAGGCGAAGCTCCCATACAGGAAGAGGAAGAGGGCGAAGAAGCGGAAGAAGAGATTGAGGAGGTTGACGCTTTCAGTCCCGTTGTCGGGGGCCCAGGAGAGCGCATCGAGGAGCAAATTATTGAAGACAGCGAGACAGAGGCTCTAGCAGAGCAGGCACAGGAGGAGGAGGCTCCTCCGGTAACGCCAAAAGCCTCAGCCGCCCCTGTCCCGCTATGATCCACTACAACTACCCTTCTATCGTCCATCATCGAGGATGATGGATAGTTTCTCTCAAGATGAAATGTTTACTGCGGTTTCTGATCAAACACGCTCAAAGGGACGGTCCCAGGCAAAAGCTCTCCTAGTGTTTTTTTTTTCTTTCTTTCTGTATATTTCCCTTCTGGCGACATGTACTATACTTAGAGGATACCTTGTACCAAACAGAGGGTGTGAGATTTTTATGCAACGAAGAAAAGACTTCGCGTCAACGCTTTACATGCTTCTCTCATAGGATTTCAGAACCTCGCTGTTACTCGCCCAATGTGCTTTGCGATATTTCCCAATTCCCGTCAGCAAATGCTCACAGTTGACCACATCACGCCGGGATGAACACTTTATCAGATTTGGGTCTGCTTGGTAGCTTTTATGAGCCCGTTCCTCGCAAATATGATGTTACGCACAGTCGCATCTGTTGCGCATATGGATGCATCAAATGGCTTTAGGTCTGGGTCTCCCATGATTGCAAGCGCAGCTAGGCCAAGAAAACCGTGATAAATGTCTGGCGGGCCTCCAGGATACTTGGAGAACCCACCGATGAGATGCTGTGTTTTGCGGGTGATGAAGCGTCGTGACGGCTCAGCGTCGATGAGATCGGTGTGACCAAGCATCTAAAGACGTCAGCAAACTGTTGTTATCAGCAGTTGACAACAATGCCCCTTTACCTGTAATGTTCCTCCGACCCACCAGCAATAGCACGTATCTGCAACCTTGTTGCATCTTCCATTGAACCCAACAAAGCGCAGGTTTGGATCTAATGTCAGCTCGCTCAACGACGCAGGCAGCGCAAAGTTGGCGTGATCTGGGTCGTCCGAGTCGTCTTCTTTCTCAAGGTATTCAAATTGACGGTAAACCAGAAACTTGACCAGCAAAGAGGCCTCCGGAACGCCTTGCTTGAGTGTCTGGCTTTCGTGTGGAGTTTCACTCTGGTCGGGGGGTCGATCGAGGAGGGCTAGCGCGCTGATGGCGCACCACGCGTAGCCAGCTTCAACCTCATATCAGCTTTGAACTGGGAACATCGTCACCTTTATAGCAGGAGCATACCATGAGATTCGTTTGCATGAGAGCTCTCAGCGAGTCCACCGTCATAGGTCTGTCCTTGGCGGATGTGCCGAACGAGGCCATCAACGTCAATGTCCTCCACCCAGTCCTCATCCCCCTCCTTGGCATCGCCCCTCAGAGCCCACCGTATCGTGGCAGCCAGAAAGCACAGCCGCATGTCCCTCCCACCTGCAATGGCCCCATCATCCAGCACAAGCTCGCCAAAGCTGCCGTCAGTCCGCTGCAGCCGCCTCAACCACCGCAACGTTGCAACGCGATCCACGCCCGCAAAAGCGCTCTCGGCTTCCTCTGGCCCGTCCGCGACAATGGCCAATATCAACAGCGCAAAGTACGTCGAGGCCAGATTCGCAGAGCTCGCGTTCCTCGTCTTGGACGCTCCCTTTTCGAAATCCCAGCCGGCGTATAAGTCACTCGGCAGAGCATGGTTCGGGGAGCCGCAGAAGCCGCCGCCGGGGTGGTAGAGGCCTAGAATGAACTTGCGCGCGGCAGCTCGATCGGCGAGAGTGAGGAGATGGGGGGCATCCTTGGTCGGCTCGGAGGGGGAGAGGATGTCGAGGGCAGCGAGGATGAAGAAGCTGAGAGCTATGCGCGTGCTGTCGGACGATGTGTACTGGTGCGGGAGGAAGGTCTTGTGGCAGCGTTGCCAGTATTTGATGTGCCGCGCTTTCTCGAGCGGCATGACCTCATCAGCTGCCATATTTCGCCGTTGATGGTTCAAGAATCGTAGTCGGGTGGAATAAAGTGGTGGGGTTTGTTTAGCTCAGGGATGTTTGGTCAAGTGAACAAATCCGCAGGACCTTTTTCCATCCCACCTCAAACCTCCTGGTCCGGACAGGACACAATCAGGAACGGACCCCACCCCCCCCCCCACCAAAGCTGCACCTTCTGCTGAAGCAAGTTTAGCTCAGCGCGGCTGGTATAAAGAGGGACAGCGCTAGCAGGGAGCAGGTCCGCTAGAAGACCGCTGAACGGCGCTGAAGCCTCGCCCTGTCTCAACTGATGGGACGAATGAGAAGCTCCAGATCGATAAGCCTCCCAGCTACAGGATTAGCTCACCTCGTTTGTGCTCTCCGATAAGACATGCGCTGGGCTGGCGTATCCATTCTTTTCTTGTTCTACGCGACTGCGCCTACGATTGCGACGTCAATTGTCCCCCTCTCGATCTCTCTCAACCAGCTTGCTTCAATTCCTCTCCTTGATGAATACAGCGCATCGCAAGAAACCGCAACCATGGCGATCATATCAGCGAAAACCATCATCACCTCCCTCTCCCTTTTCCACATCACCCTCGCATACTTCTTCTTGACGAACCCGGCCACCATCGCAGACCAGGCGATGGTCTACGTGCTAGGCGAGTCAATGGGCATGGTCAGTCTCCGAAGCCTTCCTCGTGGTTCACTGTCTATCTTTCGCGTGCTAACACGTTTTCTTCAGCCTCATGCGCGAAGCTTCGAAAACAGATCTCCGGCCCTCGCTTTCCTCGCCGCTGTGCTTGGAATACTCGGCATCAGCGACCTCGTGACCCTTAGCATGCCCGAAGAAGTCTGGTTGATTTACCACTGGGGAACACAGGGTAAGCAACATGCTCCTCTTTCCTATGTCTGTCGTCGAAGCATCTCTGACAACCCGATTCTAGCACCGACACGCATGGTCATGTCCTTCGGTTTCGTCCTCTACACCTTCCTCTTCGGCCCTTCGTCCCCCCTTTATGGCGGAACCTCGAAAGGCGGCAGTCGCTTCGCCCACCCCTCGGTCCAGTCGAACAACCCGCGCTATACACCTTCAACCTGGGGTGGCGACGGCCTAAAGAATCGTGTCTTCTTGACCTTTGCCTTCCTCGAGATGCTGTGCTGGTTCTGGGTCTGGATGACCCTGCGCGAAGAGCAGGAAGAGTTCCAGCGCAAGAATCAACACAAGAGGAGGGGAAGTCAATCGGGTTACAACTAGGCCGTCAAGGCATCATATGTGATGAGCCACTTGAAGGAGGATCCGGGGGCATCATTGAATCCGCCCAACCACAGGGCGTGATCGGACGAATATGCTTCCGCCCTGTCGGAAGGCCCGGGCCGCTTGCGTGGCCCCTTTAGCATTGTGTGGAGTTTTGGGATGGCAGGCGATACGAAAAAAAGCATATCCGGCGTAATAATCATTCAATGTACGATATGACGGTTCTCTATTTTTGGGCTCCTGAGTTTTCGAGTGATAGCCTCCTACTCCAGGCGACTTGAAACAAAACAATGGATGGGTATGGATACATCATGAATGAAATGAGGCGTTTACTCCCATCGCACCGATTCCCAACCCTTCACGTTCGTGCGCCAGCTGTCGGTCACCCGCTGTGACCAAACATCGACGTGGGACCCTGCCACCTCGCGTATCTGGTTTGATAAGTCGTCTCCAGACTCTGTCTCGAACGTCCAGGAGCTCAGCTTAGCGTTCAGCGTGCTACTTTCCTGCTTCAAGAAAGCAACGCGCGCCTTGCCTTCCGTGAAAGCAGTGCCAGCTGCAGCCTCGAGTGTCTTGACTTGGGCCATGACATCCTTGGGCACGTTGCTCTGCCCAGAGCGGTCCCTCTCCTTCTCACGGTCGTTGAAAGTCACAATGTAAGACGTGGCCAGCTTCACGGCAGCGGCAGCGTCGCGAAGAATCGACAGACCATGCAGCGAGCCCAGCATCAGGAGCAACTTGGACCCTTCTGCATCAGCTGACGTCGAGAGCGCTTGCGCGCGGAGAACCTCCAGGCCCGACTTAATCGCGGACACGATGCTTGCCAGAAGTTCGGGAGGCGGCGGGTTTCTACTGGCGGAGACGGAGAGGGAAATCAGGGTAGTCAGAAGTGAGATGACTTCGTAGTACGTTTCCTCCTGCTGCGTGAGATTCTTCCCGCGGGTGTGGAGGAATCTGCTGAGGGTATTGCCCAGGCGCTGGAGGGATTCCAGGACGAAGGTCAGCTCTGCTGCTGTCGTTTGTGCGGTGTTGGCCACCTTGTAAGACGAAGCGGCTTTGAATGTCATGATCTCGAAGAACCTTTCTGCAGCGAGAGCCAAGTGGGAACGCAGGTTCTGATTAAATCATTAGGAAAAGTGCATGTATCCAGTAGGGTGATAGGAGTCATACCGATGGATCAGGTCCCAGCCGCAGAACGTCGTATATAGGGCGGCTCGAGGCAGCCTCTAAGTCAGGTACAGATCCGTAGTCAATTACCTCGTTCAGCACAGAGCCATCGGTAATTTCGTCTACAAACGATAGTCAGCACTAGGGGACGACACGAGAACCGAGGTCAGCATGGACATCACTCACCAATCGCCGGCTCTTCGAATATCGAGTCGCTGCGAATATCTAGTGCTCTAGCAGCTTGAGACTCCTCCACATATCCCATCACAAGCGTGCAGCTGGCCCTCAGCCGCTCAGTGTAACTGGGGATGTCGAGAATGGCAGTGTAGCTCTCGGCCTCAAAAGCATCAGCCAGCCTTCTAGGCATTCTCAGCTTGAGAGACGCCCGGTAATGAGATTTCAGTCCCTGCATGAGTCCTCTCTCAGGTCTGTTTGGCGGAAGAACCAAAGTTGGCGCGATGGTGGATAGGCGGTCGAAGAAGTAGGGGCCAAGAGAATCGATAATGGTGCGCTTCACGTCTGTGGTATCCCACACTTCACGAGCACGGGAAGCGCATCCCAGCACAAGGTAGATGCGCACCAGAACTAGTGTGAGTCGGGTGTGCTTTGGTGTTCTGGTGAGCTGGTCCTCGATGATGAGGGCAGCCTGGAGCAAACAATTTGGTCTGCCGTTCTTTGACAACGAGGTGGGGTTGTCGATACCACGCTCGTGAGCGCCGCTCAACCTCACACAACATGATGCTGCGAGGATAGCAAGTTCCGGTACACAATCGAGGTGGCCAATCTCGGTAGAGTTGATGAGGGAGGAGTACAGGTTCAAGGCTGACTCCAGGAGTTTCTTGACACAGGCTGTGCAGGTAGATGACTTGTTGGTGGTGTTGCAAGTGATACACTTCCAATCATTTGGTTTCTTGACATTCTCATTCGGGACACGATCGAGGGTCTTGGGGGAAGACAGTCCGAGGTATTGCAGCTTGTATGCAAGAGCTTTCACAGATGCTGATCTCGCAGCATCCTGAGACTCTTCTGACAGTCCAATAAGGAAGTCATACGCAAGGGCTTTGATCTCCTGTGGCGGAAGTCGCTCGACAAAACCCCTGACGTCGTCGAAACAGGCAGGCGATTCGCACTCGACCTCAATGTACTGGCGCAGTTCCTCGAATTCGTTTGACTTGGCTGTTGAGCCTAGCTGCGTGGTCTTGGGGAAGAGAAACGCAGCTTCAACCTTTGCCAGGCGGACGTTGCGCTTGTAGATGGATCGCACACCCTCTTGAGTCAGGAAGCGGTTGATGAGTTCGGCAACCTCGACAGAAGCCCTGCTAACATTAGGAAAAGTCGGCATTCGTTAAAGGGGTTCGACTTACTCTTGGGTTTGTCCTATCTGGCCCGCGGCATTGAGGAATTTCTTCCACACCGCATAGTCACAAGCAAGAAGGCTCAGCTTTTGGTTCTCGTCTGTCGTTGACAAACAATCCTTGCATAGGTCGTAGACAGTTTTCCACTGCCCCTTCCGCTCGAGAACTTCTATCGCCTGCAGAAACAAGTCTTTGCGTCCTTTCCTGAATTGGTGGACAGGGTTGAGGGTAGGGCCCTTCAGGGCCGCCTCCCACTCGGCATTAGAGCCATGGGCCTCGAGAATGCGGTAGAAGAGGAGGATCTCTTCTTCCGTCTTGATGGCTCGGTCGGAGACTTCGCCATTCTTCTCGGCGCCACTCTGCCGACTAAATTAGTCGCCGTAGTGAATTATTGCCACCATTCTTACCTGTTCGGCAAATTGAGCAGCACGCTGCATTTGCTTCAGGGCAAGCATGCCATAGAGCTGCTTCTTTCCAGCTGGACATTGCTCATTGGTCTTGCTTGGAATTAGTCTGTTTCTGAAGTGTTTGGCAGGACCGAGGACTTACAGCTAGTAGATGCGTAATGGCGATGTTCCAGAAAAGGAAGCTTCTTTCTTGAGGAAATGACTTGTCGAGCACTGCTGCAATCTGTTTGCGCGCATCAGCATCTTCAGTCCTTTCTAGGCTCAGGGCAAACTCACCTGCTGTGCGCTAATCAAGTCCCAGTGTAGTAGACATGATTCCAAGCATCTCGTACCACCGTTTTTGTCCTTGGGCTTGGCTTTGACGTAGCGCAGCTTCAAGGGGCCAAAGGTCTTGGAAAAGTCCTGGTCCCCAATAAACTCCTCGGAAGCCCACTCAAGCAACTCCAGAGTGTCGGGGTCCCTCACGGCGGTCGGATCTTGAACCAGCTTCCGGATGGCAATAAAGGGTGACGCCTTTTCCAAAGGTGAGTCCAACTGACTTTCGGCGCATGTTTTCACAGCCTGAATGATGTGGTTAGTTCTATTTTTCGGGTCACATTTGGCGGTGAGATGAGAGCAAACCTCGAAATAAGGATCCTTGAAGGTCCGGAATCGCTGCTCAGCGAGACGGATGGCGTTGGCCCATTGTCCGTCATTGAAAGCTGACTGCAGCTGCAGATCGGTGCCGCTCCTCAGCTGAGGCCGGTTCCAGGACATGGTGATGCTTCTGATCGGATGGCGGGGCAGAATTAGCTTTGGAGGGGCACTGTGCTGTAAGAGTGCAGCAGGAGCTTGTGAGACGTTTAGGGATGGGGATTGTGTCGCTTGATTGGTTGCTCGGGTAAATACTCTTCCCGAAATGCCGGTTTCCCCCACTGTTCGTTTAGGATTCCGGCGCCGTGGCCCGGCCACGTTCCTCCCGAAGGCCCGACGCCGATCCGGCCGATCCTGACGGCTGAAAGCCCGGAGCTGGTCATGGATTCTACGGAGACTTTCGGACTACCTTATGGCATAAACAAGTTGGGCCCATCAAGCGCTCTTTCTTTAACATCCAGAGACTAGTAGTCTCGCCGTAGCACTGCCTGGACTCGGCATGCAGGCACATAGCAGGCTTGCTCTATCAGCAGCCATTGAACCCAAAGAGAAGAGCTGGTATCTATCTTGAAACATGACCGAATTACTCATACACATGATAACTCCTTTCCATGCATGCATGTTGTTTTACAAAATGTACAACGCCGTATCTTCTTGGCCTTGCAAGGACATCCTCGACGTGATTCGGCTCGGTTGGTCTCGGTATCATATCGGCGTTGGCATACGTCAATCGAATCCATTTACATCACCACCAAGCACCCTTTGCCTTTCGTTCTTCTCTAAGCTTGTCGAACTGTCGTAGAATTAGCGTCTGAAAATATGGCTAGCGATGCCAACGGAGGGAAGGGGGAAAGTCGTATACCCAGGCCTTCTTGCAATCTCGGTATGCTCTGTGATGTGAAGTTAGCCCCGGCTTATCCTGCAGCTCAACGGACGACCAATACAGCCCTGATCAACAGAGAGTAGGTAGAAACTCGCGCTTACTGGAAGTAGTCTCCGCACATGGTCTTGTCTCCCCCATTCCGGTGCAGGCATTTGATGCTCTTCTGCGCAAGCTCTTGACAAGGATCAAAGTACTCGCTCTTCGCTTTCCTACACGATATGATTGAGCGACTGTCACAAAGTTGGATGTAGCAAGCAGCGCGGCCTACCCTTCGAACTTGGCCTTGCTCTCCGTGTATGTCTCGTCGACTTTTTCGGGCGCAACCGTCCCAGACTTCTGAGGCTCCGACATGACGATGATATGGGATCGGCCGAGTTCGCAGGATGTATTTTGTTGGCGTCTTGTTCTTTGGTTGTTTGGGTCAATTGGTGCAATGGGTGAAGGTGTGCTGTGCTGCTGGCATTTGATGCTATTGCAATGCGACAAACATTTGCGTTGGTGACGTTGCGATCCGAGCAAGTGCTGCAAGAGATAAGATAAGAGTTACTTGATGCCTGGCAACTTTGGTCTCAATCTAAGGCATCAATAACCAGTGTTCTCCAAGAGTTCGAATTCCAATTCGCTGACTAGGGCAAAGCATAACATTTGCTAGGTGAATATCCCCCGGTTGCCAAGGGATGGAAAAAAAAAGCCAAAGTGCAACGAGCAGCAGAATGCCGTTTCGCAGCAAGCACAGGGCAATGCCCAGCAGCAAGAGAACCTTAAGATCCGCTTGTATGATTGACTGCCCAGTGCCCACGCACCGGCTCACTTTTGCCGCCAACAAAAACTGTGTCAAAAGGTGGGAATCCGGCAACACATGCCGTCCCCGGCCGATTTGGC